AAAATCAAGAGTGCCATCTCTTGTTTTTACAACAACATGCCACGCCACACATGGGGCAAAATGAAGCAAGTTAAAGTGAAGTAAAGTAAGAACATGTGCCATCTTTCGCCACGCATGTAAAAACATGGGTTTTTTCCTAAGGGAATTATGCTTATTAAGCTTATGGCCCATCCATTAGAAAATAATCTCTGAAATCTGTATGGTTTTAAATTTGAATATGATCACCCTTATTTTCCTGTCAGTTGAATTAGCCATTGGCTCATTATTTAGGGGCCAATGTCATAGAATTATTGAACCCGGGGGTTATTGTCCATTCATATTGGTAATTTGGTATCAATGGTAACTTGGGTCTGATAATGACAACTAAGGAAAAGTTGGTCACCCCATTGTCACTTTCCATTGGTCTAGAGAGGAAGGTACAACTGACACCTTGTGGATCAAGATGAGGTCACCCTGTGAATCTATTGTTTTTAGCCAACGTTTTATTTTGTTAAAAACATTGAGTGGAAGACTAATGTTCAGGGGGGGGGGGAAGTCTGAGGCTAAATGTGAAAGACATAAGCTAGATATAAAGGTAATTCAAAATGTTTTGCACAAACATCTTGTGTTGGTTCCGACACTTATTTCCTCGAACTCTCAATGTTAAGATACACCTTTACTTTAATAGATTAAGATTTAATGGTTGCTTTGGTAACCATGATGACAATACTCATTAAAAAGTCCTGGAATTATTCAACCCATTTTGATAAGGTGAGAGACTTAAGATCTGTAATTCAAATAGTGCAGATGAAGCCCTCTTTTAAACTACTGTACTGATAGTGTAGTTACAAGAACAAAAACAATATCATGTTGGTAGTAAACAATTCTTTATTTAACATACTGCAGGTTGACTGAACTGTTTCCAAATTATACATTACATCAGAGTATAAGTATTACGTAGAAATAAATAATCCAGAATAGATTGAAAGTGCTATAAATATTACATGTGCATTCACAATTAAATACTATTTTATTAGAGTAAAACCTGAATAAAAAGTGGCTCTTATGAACAGTGTTTTGGCAAATACTTTGTTTAAATCAGAAAATAAAAAATACTGGCTGCTATAATAACCTCTTTTCATTGCTTTTCATTTTTTATCTTCAATTAAATAGCCAACACGTGAAGCTCAATTTATCTTTAATAAAATAGCCTAAACATGAAGCTCAATTTATCTTTAATTAAATAGCCTAAACATAAAGCTCAATTTATCTAATCAATTAGCCTAAATATGAAGCTAAATTGATTTTTCATTAAATAGTCTAGACATGAAGCTCAATTTATCTTTATGTAAATAGCCTAAATATGAAGCTCAATTTAACTTTAATTAAATAATCTAAACATGAAGCTAAATTGATCTTTCATTAAATAGTCTAAACATGAAACTCAATTTATCTTTAATAAAATAGCCTAAGAATGAAGCTAAATTGATATTTCATCAAATAGTCTGAACATGAAACTCAATTTATCTTTCATTAGTAGCCTCCACATAAAGCTAATAACCATGTTACATCACACAGAGTTTGTTATTTTAATCAGATAGAAATGTTAATACACATTTCTATAATACAATTTAACAATACATGGACCAAGAAGTCATGTGACTAGAGATTACGATGATTGGATGAAAATAAGAAGATAACAAAGTTATTCCAGTTGGAATTTGTCAAATAGCAAATGAATTGAATTGTTTTCAACATCCATGAGTTGGTTGGCATAACTTTAAATGAAAAGTTTCAAACAAGCAACATTTGAAGCCATAATAAAAGTCATCATTTATACTGAGTACTAGTAAGGTGCATATGTGAGGAATGGTGTTCACTTTAGGCACAAGTGTTCACTTGTACAATATTGATTGCTGTGAACTAAGACAGACTAGCTAAGACAGGTTTCAGGGCTCTCACCAGAAAATATTCAGGGTGTGGTGCAAACATCTTCAGCATAACCATTCAATCGTGATAAATCATATTTATGTTATATTTTATCCTTTTTACATGCTATGTATTCAGTCAAGTTTAGATTGTGGAAACAATCAATATTTGCCAATAGGGTGTGGTGGGAGCTAAATAGACTGTGGTGCTGCGCCACAATCTAAAAGCCTAGCCAGAGCCCTGGGTTATATTGTACTGGTACGTATACAGGCTAGTATCTAAAATAAGCACACTACAAGTACAGTTATATAAATATTAAATAACTGTGTGGTCAAACTTAAACAATACAAGTCTGAGGAGCCCCCATTAGACCTCCAAGGTGGGATCTCAGCATGGGCTTAAAATATTTTTTCTCTCCCCTATCAAAATTCAAAGTATGATTCGGAGAATGTTGTATACAAAAATTGTTATATTCACTGGTTTGACTGGAAAGCCATTTAATGTTTTTGTTATGTTTAATCTTCATTGTCAACTTATATAAACATCTTTCATCTTTCCAAGATTCCTGTTTGAATTCAAAAACTGTTCTTTGACCAAACCCAAATTTCTTGTGGGTTTCAACTGTCAATATCAGATTTTCTGTTTTGTAAGGCTGCCAACAGATCTAATGGTAAGCCCTCGATAATAAATTCTTTCAATTAATACAATTTATCATACAGTATATGGATATTAAAATACTGGCTGTTAGTATAATATCAAACATTAATATTGAGCTCAACTTATGTACATCAGCAGGGTCAACATCCCCAAAACAAACAAGGGTAAATTATGTTTTATATTAAGTTGGGGTTCAAAAGGCACTTTAAAAACAATAATGCAATATTACAACAATGCATTAACATGCAAAATGTTACCACCTGTCTGTCATTCGTAACAGATGCCAAAAGCTGAACACCAACTGCAAAACACCAGCCACAAAAAAGTTAGAGACTCTAACAATATGTCACTACATCTGGTGGTGACATAGTGAATAATGAAAGGGTTAGCTAGTGGTTTTTAGATGTATAATAATTCACACATTGTCACATTTCAGGACATTTTGTTCGTCATAACACTGAGTACTCTGGGGTGAGCAATTTGCATGCAAAAGTTAATCAAATTAGAACCATGAAAAAATGAATATATGAAATCATTTGCAAAGCTTCAGTCAAAAAATATTTTCCTGGAAAATTTTGGCACTGTGTATATAAATGAGTACACACATGGTAAAATCTGTGTTAAAAGAATGCCTTATTAACTTCAGAACAGTGTTCCACTTGGAAGGTGTTCCACTTATTGAGGTTCATTATGTTGATAGTTCACAGGTTTTTTTCCGATATTAATAGGATGTTTCATTTAACAATCTTTTTGTGTATATGTACAAGGCCCATGTAAAATAGCCAGATATTTACTTTAATTAGTCTACCCTTATGAAGTAATACCTCAGGTATATGTCTTATACAATAGACAGATTTTGCAAGCTATAACTACTATACGAATAATGGAGATTTCTAAAATGTATGCTCTTGTTTAAAGGAATATTCCTCGCTAGACCATTTCTCTCCAAATATGGTAGTGTGGTATATTTTATTTTCCATATTTAGCAAAACACGGGAAAATGTTTAGATATGGTCAATATTGATCATTTAAAACTGTAGTGCTTATTTCAAGTAGGATGCCGTCTTTTAATGTTTCACACAGGAAGTGGAATCTTATTCTACTTCAATGATCTTAACAGATAATTAGATCAATTTAATATATAAGTGAGCTTACAGAATCTCTCTATTGTATTTGTTAATCACATCTATTTATCACATCTATCTACATCTGTAACAAATCTGTAACAATCCTCTCGAAGTCTTACATCAAGCCCCTCTGTAACATCTTATTCTCAACGAAGGCCTTGATGGAGGACTCCCTGTTTGGCAAATCTACATAATTGTAGGGAAAATCACAACTCCAATACAGTCAGTGTATGCCCTACGAATCTGAGAGCTGCTGGTCAAAATGGCATTACGGACCAATTGCAATGTTATTTTCCTATCCTAGTGAAAAAATCAACTGGTCCATATCAAAAGTAACCTGGTAATGACCAGTTGACTGGCCCTTAGGGCATACACTGACTGAATACAATACTTGATCCCAGCCATATTACAATACATTGAACATGTTGCATTATGTTGAAGTTCCATTTTAAACTTTAGAGTGTTCCCTACAACATCAACAAATGTTCCCTATTTTACCGACAAAATTATTTACATCTTAATAAAAATTTAAAATGTAGTGTGCATTCAAATAATGTGCATTGAATTTTTACCGAAAACTATAAAAATTCTGCATTGATTCCAATATTGGACCCAATTAAACCTATCTGTACTCATTTAAAGACACTGACTGAATCAGTTAAATTCAATATTTGACACCAATGATTTTTCTGAATTGATACATGGAAAATAAGAAAGTATTCAAGATGAATTCAAATACCCGTAGACATAATTCTCAATCAATCAGCAATAATTTGGGGGATTTTCCACGCCACAATCAACACTTTTTGTCCACCTATAAAATCAAAATCTTAAACATTATGGTCGGAATCTGGACAGTGGAAATATGAATTAATCCATTAAAGAGAATATCACAGGGTTCCAAACTTGTTTCCTACTTACTGAAAATCTCTCTTTGACAAAATGCAACATGTTCAAGGCTAGCCCCTCCAAACATAACCAATCTGTGGCTTACATCAGAATTTCAATAATTATTTTTTTATGAAATAAGATGAAAAAAATAATGGAAACCACTCAGGAGAGGCATGAAAGGGAATGTAACACAGAATGAGAAACTCATTCCAAATCAACATTAATGCACTTCAACAATATCAGAAATTTTCCACTTTAACGTCTGGCGTTATTCCATCATCAATGTATAGCATGATTCCACTTCAACAATATCAGACATGTTCCACTTCAATGTCTGATATAATTCCAATATGAACAATTTTAAACATTTATATTCCACTTCAATGATTTACAATACTCCACTTCAACATCGATTCATTATTCAACTTCAATATCCAACCGTTTCTTCTGTAGCAGCAACGCATAACAGAACCTGACATAGTTGGCTTTATTCCTTTCCCGATCCTCATCATTATTTCCCGGAAATGCATAGAACTCTGGGAGAACATTCAGACGCTGGATGCTACGTAGACTAGATGCATCGTTGAGTATTAGTGTTATAGATTCTTTCGGGATAGGGGTGAACCCCTGCATGCTGAGACATTTGAGCCCGGGGCAGTTATCAATAGCCGTCCTTAATATCATGCGCTGTTCTGAATTATTCAGGGAACAATACGACACTGAGAACACTGTTAGAAAACACATGCGCTGCAGCATTTGACACAACATGCTTGTAAGCTGCCGTAAATTATTCCGGGATAAGTTCAATTCCCGGAGATATATCAACTGCGACCAGTTGAGTAAAAAGTACAAATCCTGGTCAGCGAGACGACAATCTCTGAGGTTCAGATACTCAAATGGTTGCTGTAGTCCACCTAAAATGTCCGATAGTTGATACGCAAGGTTACAATGGCTGAGATTAAGTCTGCGTAACCAGCGGAGATGACGCAGTATTTTATTCAGCTGTATGCCAACCTCAAGATCCTGCTGCACAGTGACATCTATTGTGATTGGAAGACTCAACGCAATGAGATTCGGCAATTTCTTCAGACCATGGAGGAGTGCCAGAAGGTTATCCTCACCGAGGGTTATATTGTTATCCTCAACCTCTAGATGGGTGATGAGCTGAAAAAGTGAAACAATATTTATGGTCTATTGAAATATAGTATAAGACATTGTACCCCTAAAAACATAATGTACATTATAAGACCATCAAAAAACAAGAGGTATTTTATTTTTTGTATTATATTTTACAATAAAAAGATCTAAGTGTACATATATGAGACAAATATCACTGTAGAGAAGGCAATGTTTATTGCTCTTATTCTAGTGACACTGTTCCACAACTAGTTACTTTGACGGAATGTCAATGTAACAAAATGGATGAACTTCCTGGATACGAGTTTAAGAAATGCTCTCAGTTTGGAATTTGACTTTTAGATAAAGCTATAATTCTTGCATTTAGACCATCGCTTTTGTTACATTGATGTAGGTTGTCAATGTAACATACATTGGTAATATAATGGACTTTCGTCAATATAACAAAAGCGATGGGCTAGATATATGAATTGCAACTTCAGTTACAAAAACAATTCCAAATCGAAAGAATCTTATCAAAACTAGACTATATTTTCTAGCTTTGTGCCAAATTATAATCTGCAACTTGACTTATAAGTAGGTTTAATTCGAGAAAAGAAAAAACTCGTAACCAGGAAGTTCATCCATTTTGTTACATTGACGTTATGTCAAAGTAACTAGTTATGGAACAGTGAGTGAGGCAAAATGAATAAAATCTTCTTTGAAATCTGATTTTCTCGAATGTAACGTAATTGTACCTTTGGATCCACCAGTTTGGTGAGGTGTTTCGCAGTAAGTGGTATTTCAGGGATGTTTTCCATCCAGACCTTGCTGCAGGCAAACTTGAATGGTGTATTAGGGTACAGAGCTAAGCCAATTGGCACATCATCCATTGTGAGTTTACACTCGAAAAGTATTGTTATAGGACCTGGAATATAAGCATATTTTAGAGCGCTCTCTGGCACATAATGTTCTCTTGGTGAAAATCTTCTTTTTTGATAAAGAAATTACCAAAATACATCTTTTGATACTTTTAGATACTTTTGATTTTGCTTTTTATTCCATAATACTACTGTTTTCCCAGGGAAATATGAAGGAATAAAAATCGTATTGAATCGTATTACATGAAAAAATTGTATTGTCCCCGGGAAAAAATTGTATTGGAGCATATTACATGAAAAAATCGTATTGTCCCTGGGAAAAATAGTATTGGAGCGTATTAACCTATTTTTGGGTTTCCCGGTTATTTTATTTATTTATTTTATTTTTGAAACAATGTGCATTTATTAATATAACGTTTGCATTATCCAAATATAACATTTTAGAGCGATGTATTATGGAATAAATAGGTTATTTCTGGTCAGGATTGAATATGGGTTTTATTCCTCGGAAAATATAATATTGACCTTGGGCAATATGATATTGACATTCGGTCGCTGCGCTCCCTTGGTCAATATTATATTACCCTTCAGTCAATATCATATTGTCCCTCGTGATAAAACCCATATTCAATCCCTCTCAGTAAATAACCTATATTTATTATTCAGACAGAGAACTGAAAAAAACATCTGTGAGTTTTTATCATGACATCATGAAATAGGAAAATTTTCACTTGGATGCAAGGTAATCATATATTTCACTAGATTAGTACAAATTAGTAATTAAAAAACAATTAAGCATCAAACGTTTTTTATTTTGCATTTCTATTACAGATAACTAAATTAAGAGCATTTAAAAGTAGAGAAGGAAAGATGAATAAAATAGTTATGACCACAAGATATCAAATTAATAATGTGAAGATTCATATGCATGTATGCATGACTAATGGAAAACTATAGGAATATACATTACCGAAAACATTTCCTTTCTTGAACTCCATGTCGACATTGCTATAAATAAGTGAGATTCTATTCAAGTAACGCTCCACTTTGTCCTTGGAGATTTCTGAAAGAACATAAACAACGAAAAATATAAGCAAATCAGTAAATCATGACAGATTCTGAAAGGACATTCTAACATTTCTTTGCTATTTCTGAGCAATGTGGAGAGTTGACTAAATGTCTGTTTACTTTATTCCTTGCTGATTTCACTCTTTTTCTCTCTAAAATTTGAATGAACAGTTTGATTTTTTGACATTTCTTGACAATTTAGAGTGTTGACTATAAGCCTGTTTACTTTATTCCTTGCTGATTTCACTCTTTTTCTGTCTATTTTCAATTAAAAACAAAACCTGTATGACATTTTTCATACTGTCATAACAAATTCAATACAGAAAACAAGACTTTACTCTGCAATTGTAAAGATAGAGAAAACATTTTGTAAACATTCTGAACATTGATATCTTAAATTAGTTTCCTCAAACTTTCAGATAAGAGTTTCAGGAAAAAGTTGCAGCCCAAGTTTTATCAGGTAGTCGGATATATTGGAAGCATTGATATCTCAAAATCTTTGAAGTAAAACAGAGTTGTTTGAAACAGGTTATCTTGCGAACAACATGATAAAATGTGAAATGCTAGCCACCCATGTGTAGTAACAATGGCAACAAGCAAAACAACTTGAAATCAAAGACATATGAATAAAATTAATTATATCTCAACTGTACACTCAGGAAACAGTACATTTGGCACATAATAACTATCTTTGGATTAATTTAGTACCACAATTTTTGGTGATTTAATACAGTGAATTGCTTGTACATAGTAGTGTAATGAACAATCACTATTACTAATATCTTCAAAAGTGTTAAATAAAACATTGAGGACTGGAGAATTTCATTCCTATAGATGTCATTCAATATCGTCATTGTTGCACAATCTCTTTAAAAGAATGTACTGTATGATTGTTTTTCTGAAGTTTGTTTACAGTCAATTGAGTTAACTACCTGTATGTATGTTTTAAAAACTATTCCTCTGATTTGCACTTTACTATTTGGATTTCAAAAACATAAAACAAGAATAAAAATTTCTCTCATTTGTTTAATTCAATTTCAAACCCTCCTTCAAACTCAAAGTATAATGAGGTATCAGCAAGGAATAAAGTAAATAGACATTTAATCAAAACTGCAAATTATATAACAAGGCACCAACATGAAAAAATGTCACAGCCTGCCATTTGTTACAGATGCGGACTGCCAAATGCTGACAACCAAACGGCAAACACCGAACACTGTGTACAAAAAAGTTAATATGTCATCATTTGTGGTGGTGACATTAAAGCAAGAAAATAAGTCAGTTCATTTAAACTATATATTAATAGAAAACATATTTTAAGCATAACTTGACCATGACCATTTATCAGGTAATGTTAAATAAGTGCTTCATAAAGTATCTCATTAATTTCAAGTGGATAACATTGGCATGAAACCTAAAAACAGTTGCCAACAGGATTTTTTTCTTGTTTACTTAACAAATAAATTACATAACATAGAATAAGGGCCTGGGTTGAAATATCCATTTCTGCCAAAATGGCGTCATGAATTTTGAAATGAAATGTGACCTAAGGTTTTTAATATTTACTTAACAAATGAATTACATAACATAGAATAAGAACCTGGGTTGAAATATCTATGAATTTTGAAATGAAATGTGACCTAATGTTTTTAAAATTCACTTGACAGATGAATTACATAACTAAGAATAAGGGCTTGGGCTGAAATGACCATTTCTGCCAAAATGGCGTCATGAATTTTGAAATGAAATGTGACCTAAGGTTTTTAATATTTACTTAACAAATGAATTACATAACATAGAATAAGAACCTGGGTTGAAATATCTATGAATTTTGAAATGAAATGTGACCTAATGTTTTTAAAATTCACTTGACAGATGAATTACATAACTAAGAATAAGGGCTTGGGCTGAAATGACCATTTCTGCCAAAATGGCGTCATGAATTTTGAAATGAAATGTGACCTAAGGTTTTTAATATCGACTTGACAGATGAATTACATAACTTAGAATAAGGGCCAAAGTCAAAATATCCATTTCTGCCAAAATGGCTTAGTGAATTTTGAAATGAAATGTGACCTAAGGTTTTTAATATTTAACATTCTAGCTTCCAATCTCACAGGTTTTATTGTGATTGGTAATTTATAGCTCATTGACCCAGAATCTGAGATTGCACAGGTACACTGTAAGCCATTCATTAACCATAAAACCAATGAAATTATAAACAGACCATTTTTACCTATTCTTACAGGGCATTCTGTCCAGTTTCAACTGACCATATCGACCTATTTCGCAGGTCATATTGACCTATTTAAACTGGCCATGTCAACCTATTTCTATGGGTCACATTTCAATTTTAACAGGTCACATTGACCTCAAGTATTTTCAAATGTTTACTATAATTGGGAGAACTTAGATATAAAGAAAAGAACTGTCTTTAGTTTTTAGTTAATTTTACAACAAACAATGTTCACTTTTCAGTAATAGTACAATAACGTCATTTTGAAGGGCAATATAGTGAAATATTGGACCTTGGGCGCTCGGCCCTCGGTCCAATATTTCACTATATTGATCGCAGAAATGATGTTATTAGTATTATTACTACCGTTAATGCTCAATGGATAAAATAATCTCACCTAGTTTACAGTTGAGCTTCTCATGGACTGCTTCGATGGAACGATCTTCCCTGGTTGTCCATAATATTGGCAGTCTGCAGAGCTCACGACACAATTTGCGATCTAAAATATCAATAAATATAGGAAAATAGTAACTGTTTTACCAACGTAATTTAATGAATTGGAGTTCATTTTTTGACAGTTTTTCCAAAGTTGGTAGAGTACCCAGAGAAAGCTGTAAACATGGGCTACTAAACTGGATATTTCTCCTTATATCAATTGAGAGACATACACTTTATATCATTCAACTTGAGAACGCTACAGTATGATGGTCTCTTTATGCGAGCCCAAAAGGGCACATCGAACAGTCTCTAACATTTGTTAATGTTTCTATATGATTATGAACACCTACATAAGTACATCTGTTACCTTTATCTAGCTTTGTAAAGTCAACAAACTTCAGTTTCGATTCAGGTTTCAGATCAAGCAGTCCGAGCATAAATCCATCGAGCATGCTAGTTCGGTCGTGTCCCTCCAGGGGGAGTGTCAGATAGTTGTCGTCCAGATAATCTTCCAATGGAAGATGATCGTAAATACAGAGCACTGGGGAGGGCCATGTCGATACCAAGTATCTAAAACAAATATTTAGAATATTATTAAAGGGAATGCGAAGTTTCATGTTCTAATTTATACGCTGACTACTTATAACCATCATCTATCACTTCAGCTCACTCTTTGGACATATCGTGTTTGAACTAACATATAATTGAAGTTCAAAGTACCCATATCTGGATCGCTGTGGATGCCGCCATTGTTATGTGTCAATGACGTCATTGATGCCTTAAATTGATGCCTGGGAAGTGTCGCACGTCATACTCGGATCGCAGAAATAGAACACATTTCACTGCTATTTTATAACTATTTCTGTCCGCTTGACATTGTTGCCGCATGTTCATGTCCATATCATATTATATATTTGGAAAGGTTGTTTCAGTATATTCTTCATAGAAATTGAATTGTTGCAATGTCTTTTTTCAAATGTTTGTATTTAATTTCTCCAATGTGATATAGTAGCTTATAGGCTAGGTAGAAAAATCACTAAACTTATGAGATATCGGCAGCGCGATTCGCAATTTAACTGGTTTTGACTGAAAAGTCATCGCATTATATTCCACTTGAGAATATCCACTAGAATTATTTTATATAATGATAAGGTATACGTCGGCAAATAGGCAAACTGCTGCAAATGCTTTCTTACCTAATCATATTGGTAGATTTCTGCAATCTGTAGTAATCTATCCAAATATGAATAGGTGGATATTGGAGAATGAAAGAAATAAAACGAAAAGTAGTAATCCAATGAAACAGTAACTCCCTAAAGTGTTTAATCATTTAAATTCTGATGAAAAACGCAAACAAAAAACGAAATATCGACGTCGTCTAAATGATACGTATGTGAATGACAATCTCCTAAATATTAAGATTGGCAATAGCTTTACAAGGACATGCCACTGTCATATTTTCAAAGAATAATACGCAATGTTTAACATTCAGTGATGCGGGAAGACGATGGGGTCGATTAGATATTTCATTTCAACGACGATAAGACAATTGCCGTATTGATAGTGCGCCAATATTTTTAATATTTATTTTAATATATATTTATTTTTTGTTAAATCAATTCCTGATTTCGAGCTCGAATTTAATTATATAACATCCGTGGTAAGTAAAGTTCTACAGTTTTTTCCAAATAATGATTTTCAATTTAATGGCATACAACCTTTTGTTTTTCCATATCGTTTCTTCTAAAATAAGTGGAACTTTAAAAGCTTTAGTCACATTTGCTCGTCGACCGTATTTCCCTGAAATCAGTAAATTTCTGCGGCAAACATAGGAAAACTAAAGTCGCCTTAAGGTCACCTTGCGGTCTACGTACACGGCATATCAAGTTTTACAGAGCGTAGAGTCGGAGTTATAACTTTTTCTTTCCTGTGGTCACCGTAGATATCAACAAGCAGCAGCCAAACCATAGGTCCCACGGCGGCCATGCGTCGGGTTCACGGTCGACTTGCGGCTGCGCTTGGATTTCATAGGTTACAATTGACCTTTCCGAACCATGGAACCCTTTGATGATGCCTTCAAGAAAAACTACGCACATCGTAGGGCCGCCCTATGCTGATCGTGCGTCATCATTTATCAGCCGTACGGGAATGATCAAAATACGCCGCTATCTTAGCAAATGTGACTGCTAAATTATCTGACTGCAGAAATACTTAGGCAACCGTAGAAATTTTACTTACCGCAGAAATGATAGACCGTACGGTCCCCGTAAAAATGTGACGTGAGGCTAAGAATCCATGATAGTAATTGAATACGTTTTTAAAATTTAATTTTAAAATTTTCTGCAAATACTTGTGTTAAAGATAAACATAAATGCAATGAATATTAAAGTACGAACACGTATTTTTGTAATGAGACTAGCAAATTAAATCATCACCGTGATTGCATTCTTGGAAGTTCAAGATGGGTTGGTTGAATTAATTTTATTATGTTTTATTAAAATAATTTGCATTCACCTGATAGAATAAGTATTCTGTGTTCGCATTTAGCGCTAGACCTAATGAAAGTTAAAAAGTCACGAATCCCAGATTATTTCAAGTGTAAATAACGAATAAATGTAACCTGCATTCCATGTCTAGATAGGTAAAAAGCAATTCCGAAAATGCCGTCGTTAATATTCTATTGAAATCGTTCTTTATTATGGGTGGTATATACGTATTATTTTAGTTCCTTTAAAATGATTTATTTGGTTTTGGAATGGCAACAACTCGGCATTTATTTTTTGATTCAAAAATGGCGCCACAAAACTTTGGGAATGCCAAGGCATCAATCTGGCATCAATGACGTCATAACAATGTCGTAAAGAACCACTTTACGGTTGAAATGGCAGCTCCGTGGTCCAGTTCACATGCAAAACCCGGGGCTCAATAACAATTAAGGGGATAATGATAGAACAATAAAACGAAGTTGGATTGAAAGATGTATCTTTATTCTAACTTATTATCAAGTTTAAGGGACAAAACTTCGCATTCCCTTTAAGTGTGAATATTTCCACGAGATGGGGAAACGGGGGAAAAAGTAAAATAATTTTCGATTTTCTTTTTGAACTTTCCAATATTAATAATTATTCACACTATAAATGTGAGAGTTTAGTATAATAATACAAAACATTAAGAATGTTATGATTGATAAAGGACCATGCACCTTTTTCATTTACATAATTGAAAATGTCAGGTTTGTTTTTAAATCGAGAATATTGTGGCAGACTGGTCAAAAATAAAGGTCCTCCTTATCACAGAGGGTAAATTCACTGGTAAACCAGTACAGGAGATGCACCACAAAATTGTTATATTCCATTTAAGCTCATAGTCATTACCTTATAGCATAGACCTCCCTTTGGTAAATAGCCTCTGTCAGCAGATGAGAGTACACATTACTGGGAAATGTGGCTAGCTTGTGCAAGGCGTTGTGGTCTGTTACAGTCTGGTAGAGGCTTAGCTGGAAGAGTGGCCTGAAAGTAAAAATAGCCATCTGATTGCAATACATGCAACATTTATCAAGTTAGTACATTAAACCTACTTTATCTAATGAAATCAGAACATTTATGGAATTAAAAACTGATTTGATAGCAATTCTTAATTATTACGTAATTGTTCAACACTTGGAAGAGCCAACTTATTAAGGTTACAGTATTCCAAAATGGTACAATTTTTCACTTAAATGTTACTATGACCAGGTATGAGATTCTCCAAACTCTACAAAAGCCATCAATAAGGAGGAATGTGTGTTCTTGGAAAGTCTTGCATTTGGAGGATGGATTGACCTTAAAGAGAGAATCAGATATAGCGAGCAGCTAAACAAAAAATTGTTTCAATTTTAGAATATTTTTGGCTCATGTCATTCCTTGTCTATCTATTTTCTAAAATACACAAAAGTGCATACTTTATTCCAGGAAAACTAAAGATTTTTACAATAATGTATTATTTTTCTATAAGAATGGTTACCATTCTTATTATTTGGGAGAATTTAAACATTTTTCATCCATTTTTGCACTTTGAATCATGAATAACTTCACCAATTTACACCATATTGTGAATCTTTTGGGAGATATTGTATTTGATATTGTAAGGAATAGATTGGTAGGTCAATAACCCAGATGCGAGTAGAAATAATCTTGATTTACGTAATTAAAAATTCAAAATCCAGTCAAAGTAATATCATATTTGAAATCTACATGTAAAATTACATCTAGAAATGTGGTTTTAAAAAGTGTTTATCAACTTTGAAAAATTAATTTTCTTTGAAAATGTGACTTCTAGCTCGGGGAGATTCCCCATAGACCCCATGCTATAAAATCACAAAAAATGAAATATCTTTTCTTTTAGTGGACAGATAATATTTTGCTTTACTGGACATATTTTCATTGGTATAAGTATCAGACGCATAAGGGTTATATGAAAATTGAGCCACTTAAATTGATAATATTCAAGTTTAGGGGAACTTTCTTATATACCTGCCATGTTAATTGACCCGAATCAGCCACCTGGTGGTGAAACTGGTAACTACCTACTCGCATTTGGGTAATTATACATGTTGCTTGTAATTTTGTCACCCCCTATAGATCAGATTCTGCCTTTAAGGTCACTATGACACTAGGTTTAACACTTTCATACATTGTTTCATCTTATATAGTATAATCCATGCCCTAGATACCATCTGATCTTAATTAATGAATCATTGAAGGTTTATAGTAAATAAAACATATTTTTCTGGCAAACGATGAAATCCTAAACTGCATAAATCCCACCTTTAAGAAAAATGAAATAAAAATGTTGGATCAAGTTTTAGGAGCCTTTACACCTATCTCCTTCACATCATTGTTGAGAAGTGTGCTTGCTGGTGGGAGGGGGTCACAAGGACTTGGAACAAGACTAGCGCAAGGCATTAACTATTAAAATGTCACCACCTGCCATTTATTACATACACCAACCTCCAAATGCTGAACATCGTCCACAAAAAAGTTGGAGACTATAACAATATGTCACCACTTTTGGTGGTGATATAAAAACCACAAACCTTGGCGACTTGATGAATTCTCCTTTCTTTGATTTCTTGCACTGCAGCAGCCCCGCATCATCTCTGTAGAGTTGGTAGCGAAAGTGTTCCTCTGTCATCCATAGTGGATGGTTGGTGTAGCGATCGTCAATGTTAAAGCAATGTTTGTCATAGGGAATATCATCCAGGGGGCAGGTGGTAGACATCCTGGCCCATGTCCTTCAAATGAAAATTTACATTTGAACAAAGTGGAACACAACACCTCCCTAGAACCCCCATAAATGTGGGGTGGAATTGGCATTTTTAATATTTTAGTGCCAATTGGCACAGGAATGATAAAAAAATATAAGAAAAAACGCCAATTCGACCCCACATTTATGGGGTCACTCCCTAGCAATCTTCAACACAGCATTTAGGTAAATACAGTACACAATGGTACATACCCTTGGCAGTGGCCTATACTGACCTTTACAATGCAGTCCCACCAGATGAGAGGGGTGTACGTTGGATGTGGTGTGGTCACACTCCTCTCAGATATCTTGGAAAAATCCCTGGGAAAAGTGTCTAATAGGCCTACAATGATCAGCCAATGAATGAAAGCATGGCGAAACAGCAGGTAATTTATAAATCTGACTGTTTATATTCTTTTATTTCACCATTTTGGATTGAATATTGTTGGACAACAATGTTAATGTCAGTGTGTACTTTGATGAAATTTCATGACCTCGTGCTATTTTCAGATAAACATAACTCATTCTCCACATCACGGTGTATAACCCAAACGCTCCTACATGCACGACAGAGCGTTTTATTACTGAAATTAAACAAAGAAACGCTCCGGAGTAGGAAAACTGTCTGGCGGGAATGATGAGCCGTCTGACAATTTCCCCAATAATGGGAATAAGAGGTATGAGTTACATATTTCGAGTATACCATTCGATGGGTGTGATATTCATGTTGTACGTGGCTGGCTGTTGACGTTTGAAGCAATTAGGAAGAGCTGTACGAAGCAGTATAGTTATCAAAATTCAAAAACGTATTTGTCATTCTACCAGTCAAAACCCCTTTTGTCGATACATGTGATTAGTTGAGCCAAGATTAGAGCACCAACGTATATTTTAGTCAAATTCCAATGCTTCAACGCACCATACATTATCGTAATAGTGATTTGATGACCGAAAATCCAGTCTTAAAAATGATGAGATTCTCATATTCAAGAAACGCTCCGATCTGGTTAACACAGTGAATTGGAAACGCTCCGGTAGTCTAGATCAGTTAAGGAAATATATAGCTTGCCTTTCCTTTACAGGAAGAGAAAGAAAAGATCTATTATACCCCTTGGCATCAATAGAAGAAAGATTAATTCACATATAACTTTTCGTTTTTTCTATAGTTTTATGATTTAGCACATATGTAGGCATGACATCATCTAATGTATAGGCTTTAATCAGCTAGTTGCACGTTTAGCACCACCAGGTTCAGATGTTTCAATTTGCCTAACAAGTACAACACGTTTTTGAGAGATAGATTCGATTCGGAACTCTTCTCTAATAATCTGAAAATGATATCAAAACAAAATGGTAAGAGCGTTTCTAAAATTGTGGTCTAAATCGACGGAGCGTTTCGAGGAAAACAAGCGATTTCTCGAGAACAAGTAATGGATTTGGACTGGGATTTTAGGAAATGAGAATATACGAGTTTGTGATCTACTACTTAAACAGAAAGATTAACGTTTTCATAGAAATACTAGTTTAATTCGTAATTTGTGGTCAAATCGTCATCTTCAGATTCGTTCGATCTACACTACGGAGCTTTGATCAAGCAAATAACAGTTTACCACCAGAAGTTGAATAAATAAGATCTTTGCTCACGGTATTGTTCATCGAATGGTACATAATATTTCACCATGACATATGATATGTAAGAGAAACGAGAGAAACAATACTTACGGTCATAGTAGAATCTTCATTAGCTGCCATTTTATTTCGCTCCGGAGCGTTTCCGCGTAAATGTAACGCTCCGTCGTGCATGTAGGAGCGTTTGGGTTATACACCGTGCACATGGTCTACAACTTTTATTTTTTACACAAAAGGTGCATTGGTGTACCTAGATTATTAATTGAGGGTTGATAATTCTTTTGAATGTATGAATAATAACTAGATTAATATTCAGTGGTCTACTTTTCAAAATTGCAAAAAATTCCAAAGTACACACTGTCCTCAAGCGATTTCACTGTTTTTGCAAAATTTTGATTTAAATGCAGAAAACTAGAAGTTTCTTGCCATGATTGTCTCATTTGTTCCTGATGTATCCCCATCAAAATTTTGCTTAAATATTTATATGATTCAAAATTCAAAGAGCATGGTGTGAGATAGTAAAAGGTGTCCCTTGTAGGGGACCATGGTATTTTTTGTAAAAATACTAGGAAAATCATTTGATTTTTTAACTCACATGTTTCATTATATCAAAGAAAAACAGAAAAGGGCAACTCTTGGCGTAGCAAATCCCAACAAACAAAGTATTCATAATTCTGAAATATATATTGCCAGTATTGGGGATCTCAATTTCAATTTTGAACCTGATCCCCCATAGCGGAAAATTCCCTTTACATTATTTGGAACAAGTTTTGATGTTAATTAAAAATTAAAAACAAAAGGACCCCATTACTCCGAGTCTCACTTCCAAAGTAATGATAGAAACAGAAAATGGGTATTTTAGAGCATATAATATGCTAGTGGCATTTTTAATAGCTTTAAGTTTACTCCTTGCATTATTGAACTTCAAACAGAAGTGAAGATTATTCTCAAATGATTTGAAGGAGTTGATTCAATTGTCTTTGATATATAACAAAACATAAATAAATTATGAGATTTTCAGACCAAATCAGCCGTGATGGTTCTTTCAATTTTAGCATAATTACACATCCAAAAACAAAAAAATGTTATGCAGAAATAATTGTCACAAAGACAGAGCATTTGAGATGCCAAATTTTCATATTTTGAGCCCTAAAATACAATCTATTTCAATTTCCATCCATTTGAAAGAGTTTTCAAATGTAACCAAGGGCATCAAATGACACATACTAGTAAGTAGACACATAATGTATATCACATCATATTCCTCTATTTTTCAGGGGCAAAGTTGTCAATGAAGTCCTAAATTTGACTGTTAGCAGGGTAATGGTCCATAGTATGACTTTCTGGTAGTGTTGTTGTGATGTGCCATACATGTAATCGTATATTGATGCATCAGCATTTTCTAAGACTAAGGTAACATCGATCCACAGCGCCATGTACACGGGGTACCATCGAATAATTTTGGCAACGTACCGGAGAACGACATTTTACTTAGAAATGGCAATAATTTAGCACAATATATTTTTTAACTAGAGTTCTACTTTGATTTTGACAAAAGTAAGTATTCCATGCAATGGCTATTTCATTCATGAGTTTGTAGGAATTCTGTTGGAACCCAGTTCTGATCAAGTACGAAGTTATTGAAATCGGCCCAGTCGGACTTTACTCCGAAAGATGGTTTTTCGATTATAACTTTTTACAACATTTAAGTATAGACTTTTGAAAAAAGTACAGAATAGTCCTTATACTATTGGATAATTCTGTTATTTCTGATTCACATGACTCTGATTTGTTTAATTAAAAAAAAAGTTTTAAAAATATTACTTAGGAACGTAACCGGAGCTGGGAACGTAACCGGAGGAGATCAGTTGAATTATATAATTTAAAAAAATAAAATATATGATTTAAAGCATATATATTAATAAATACGCATTCGAACAATCCCTTATGTTTTTAAATTAGTATACACTTCAATCTTCGAGTCGAGCAGTATAATTCAGCTTATTTCAAAATGTCTGCCATGAACATTTCATCCAGTGCCTACATTTCAATCTCATGTAAGTTAAAATAGTCCGAAAGTGACGTCATCAAATTCATGGATGACATTTTGGAAAACCGGTCGATTTGAAGTTGAAACACACGTTATTTTCCAAAAGTCGAAATTTAACGACGCGGCTGTCTCAAATTGCAGTAATATACACTTCAATCTTCGAGTCGAGCAGTATAATTCAGCTTATTTCAAAATGTCTGCCATGAACATTTCATCCAGTGCCTACATTTCAATCTCATGTAAGTTAAAATAGTCCGAAAGTGACGTCATCAAATTCATGGATGACATTTTGGAAAACTGGTCGATTTGAAGTTTGAAGTGTATATTACTGCGATTTGAGACAGACGCAACTTTTCTGCCTTTAGAAGAATGTTTCTTGTGATGTTAAGAGTCAATAGAGGTAAGAAATATGTGCGTAGCTATCGCCAATAAATTTCAACTTTTGAAAAATAACATGCGCTTCAATACATCCCCCGCAAGACTAGAACGTAGAGATAGTCTTGGAACGAGATAAGTAGATGTGACACCAGAACTAAATGTTGCAAGATTTTGTTATCTGAAAAGTGAAAGAAAAAAAGAAAAAAATGTTCATCACAAAATTTAATACACTCATAGAAGTTACATTTGAAGGGATAAACACACATTCACCATGAATATGACTAAAAAGGTTCTTCTAGTACTTACCTAAATAATAATTAGTGTTAGATCTTGCTACGTTTCCGTGATATGACGCATAAATTGCGATGTTCTTGGATCGGGAGAAGTTTATTTTGGGAACTATCTTCTCATTTGAAGAGTTAATTGGTTTCGCGCATGCGCAGATAGAGCAATAAAAATATTTACAGTGAGATGCTGAACTCAAGAATTTTGAGAAAACGTTGGGTTTTAGCCGTTATATTCTTGTTCTCATTGGCCTATTTCCTCATCAACATATACAGACAGGTAAAGAAATTCTATGTAATCCGAAATTCATCTCATTTTGTGTACAAATACCCAACATTTAGTAAAAACGTTATGGGTAAAATAAATTTCAAAAACAAAACAAATCATTTTCATTTTTCAGATCAACTCACTAGACTACTGGTCCTCACTACTCAGACCTTTAGATCAAGTGTTCAAATCTTATGTTGTATAGTGAACTTGACCAGAGAGCTAAACCTGTGTACACTGTTATCAATTTCATATGATCACCCATCGATGAGTCATCCACCTCGTTATAATGAAAAGCAAAACAAAAGCCAAAATTATCTAACAGAGGTGAATGAGTGTACACTGCACATGTTTATCAGATGTGCCAAAAGCAAAGTTGAAAGTCAACAGTTACAGTAGTTCCAACAAGTTAAACTCAGTGACGGCTTTTATTATTCATCTTTCTTGGAGCGAGCCGTTTAATGTAATTATGACCTGATGTGTTCAACAGATACACACACCCCTTACAGGCAAAAGGCTACACAAGCCAATGTTAACTTCCGTATGCATTCATTCAATATAGAAACACCTACCATCAAACAATTTCAAGTTATATTTTGCATTTAATTTCATTTATAATAGTAAAATGTTGCTACTCTGATCTGAAGTGAAATGTATAATTTTCTCATCAATTGGCAATTTTTGTCTGAAAATTAACTTTTTAGAAAAAAAATTAACTTTTTGAAAATGTATTCTCAGGGATATAAATAGATCCACTCAGAGAAAAGCACGAAACTTGTGTAAGTTTACTTATCAATAGTATTTCGTTCAATATCGTCAATGGCAGTTTATTTATTGACAAGGTTTGCCATTTCGATATTACTCATGCCGAACCAAATTTTTCCAAATAGCTCTCTCATAACATCATGAGAAATTCCATGATATCTCATTTCTTCTCAGCCCTGAGATGCCATGATATACATGTAATGACCTTGATTTCGCAATCTAGGAGAGCCCAAAATTGAGGATTTTTGAGATCTTTCATCCCAGCTCATATTTCATTTAATTGGGGTCATTAAACTTGTGTACACCTGTGCTTATATCTGCTTTTAAATACAATGCCTATTATGTAATGTATTGACATTAAGTAAATGATTATATGATAACTATCATACTTATTGACAGTTATAACTCTTCCCATCTGATGTGCTCAGATCACAGAATATGCCTCATAATATCAGAGCATGTTTCAGGTGAAACAGAAAGATGCTATGAGTATCAGAATGCTCTCCAAAATATACAAAGGTTTTCAGATTGGATGATGTGATTTTATTCATTTCGTCATGTATTCTTGGTTTGATCTCATAATTTTAGGAATGACATTACAGAAATTCTTTCAAAGTCATTTTCATTATTCTGAGGACTTCGCATGATTTTCAGCCCAAAATTTTATTCCTCTTTGACAAATGGTCCCCCTTTGGTAAAACCACTCCCCTTGGTAAAAGCTGGCTACAGGCCTTGTAATGGTAATTAAACGTAGTCAGGACATAAGAGATGTCGGATAAGAAATAAGGCCCAGACTAGGTTTAACTTGTTGAACTAACAGTTACAATTGAAATCACAAGTTTAGTTCCAATTCTTTTTTTTAAATGAGGGATCATTGCTCATGTCAATAGTATATGCATAAAAGGCAAGATTTTTGTGTCAATTTTAAATAATAGATTTTGTGTTGTGTAGGAGCACAGAGTTTTAGATAGTAGTTAGTAGTTCTATCTAAATTGAATAAAAAATAACCTCTTGGATTTTACAATGGCTACTTGGTACAGTCAGTTGTGACAAATTTTATATATCACTTTCTCACTTCTAACATTCTAAGCACATATTTTTTCAAATTACCCAACTTTCACAAAAGACATAATTCCATGGCTGAGTTCCAAAATTATCTGACTCAAAGTCAGATTAGGCCATTAGCCAAGAACATAAGCTTTGTGTAGGCAAGGCATAAATATTACAGAAAACCAGAGGAATTCCTGGCATATATTCAATTTAAACTGATACCAGGAGAACTTTGATAGATGGACTAATTATCTGAGGTATTATAGAGTCCCTGGTTTTCTGCCAGGTTGGTCTACTTTCAGAGAATTCTCGGGGGTTTGATCAAAATATCAATTTTTGAAAGTGATGTATCGAGAAATATCTTCCAACACAAACTTGTATTTACATGTATATTGGCAATGGAAGGGCTCTCTAGACTCCATTGGGCATTTATGTACTTATGGCATTGATTTAGATTTTTTTAATCATTTTATTTATGATATTGAATGGCTTTAATTTCCCTAAAACATTGAATGACTTTACCTCCTTTTAATTTCATATATGACAATTGAATATCAAATATAGTTAATTTCAGTTGAAAAAGAAGAATACTTTGACCTGCCCCCTTAATCCTTTTTATAAGAGCTACATATCTCTAGATCTCCAGGCTTCAAAAATTCTAGATTCATCCCATTGGGAAAATGTCATTTTAATATTGTGTTGTAAAAGCTTAATAGAATGAGAAATAGTGCAAGGAACAAGAAATAAAGTAAAGAAACAAGTATTAAACACTTTAAGTCATAGATAAAAGCCAGGAAATCAGATTGCTCATTCATCTTTCAGGGAAAACATGGAATAGATAACACATCTTTGTCATGGGTGATGCAGCAAGTAAACAAGTCAAGGGAACAAGATGTTGAAGTGTTTGTTACAATCTTATCTTATTGTGGTTCTTGATTTTGAGGAATGTGGGTCCTTTTGCTGTTGTTTATACCAGGAAAACAATATATTATTTCGAGCTCTCTGGATAGTTCTTTGAAATATTTATGGTATTTATTTATGGTGTATGGTGATTCGTTTAAAAAGACTGTAACTTTAGTTGATGTTTGTATTACTTACTAATTTTCCACTGTATATTACTGAGTTAAATATTCTGTTGTTAGTGTAAAACTTTCAGAAATCTACAGTAGAAGGCAGTAAAAATTATTTTGATGACTAAAAATAATATATTTTATATGATTTGTTACAGTCGGAGAAGCTCGTATCGCAAGAAGATTACATCGACCGCAAGAGGTTACTGGTGCAGCCCGATGCAATCAATTGGGAAGCAGTACATTTTACACAATCTAACAGTAGTAAAAGTTGCAGAAACTCAGTACAAGGGAAACAGCTTATAGCCGATGAGCGAGGTATGTTTTATCATCAATTCTGCATATACTGTATATATGTACATGTATATGTGTATATGGTATATTATTTTATTAAATATCCCATATGAATCACAACCTAAGAAGCTTTAATGAAAAATGAAAATAATCAACTACATGCAGGCCCGTAGCCAGAGGGGGAGCTGGGGGAGCTGGGGGAGCAGATGCTCCCCCCCTGGCCAGAAATTCTTTCAAAATCATGCAGTTTTTCACCATTCTGAGAATTTTTTGCATGATTTTTAGCCAAAATTATGAAAAAGCTCCCCCCCTGGAAAAAAGCTCCCCCTCCTGGTAAAAGTTGGCTACGGGCAAGACATGTATCACATGTACAAACATATGATTTAAACCATGCATTAGACCCATGCATTAGACCAAGACCATGCATGGTCTTACTATGTTGTCATTATTCGCTGTACATAGTACATGAGAATTCCTAATGATTATATTTCCCATGTATTAAATCAATACTTCATATGGTTTCGTCATTCTGATTAGTCAAAAGGCACGTATAGCCCTATCATCATGTTAAAGCATTTCTGCCGTTAGTTTAAATTTATTTTAATGAATTATCTTTTCAGGTTATGTATGCAATAGAGAAGAGGTAGACTCAGAAGGTTGTTGTCGTACCACAATTCCATCCACAAAACGCTACACATGTGACTCTTGTACAAACACTGGGTGTTGTAGTATATATGAACATTGCATCTCTTGCTGCTTGCAGCCAGATAAGGTTTGTCAATAATATTCTGCTTTATGTCTACAAAATTGAGAAATGCATAATATTTTATCAGTTTTCTTTCTAATATTATGGGTCCCTGTTCAAGTAGGTCAAAGTATGGCTGCCAACCCAGAGGGGTCATAATTCAAACAAATACAACACTCCTGAATTTAAAAGTTTATGAAATCGAAAGTATACCAAAGTCAACTAAATGTTTTGTACATGTAATGTATGAGCACTATTGTACTTCTGTAGTAAAATACTTATTCATTTATCAATATTTTTGTCGTTTATCTTCAGCAGCTATTATTACCTAAGATCCTTAAATACAAATACACACCACACCTGGATTTAAGAGTAAAACTAATTTCAACTGAATGTTTTAAATAAATGTACATGTTTGTGCACCATTGTACTTCTTTAGATTTTAAATTTTTGTTATTTATTTTCAGCAACCACTATTACGTAAAATCCTTAGTAAAACAGCCGACACATTCCACAACCTGTTTGCCTCAGTGACGGACCACTTTGAACTCTGCCTCGCCAAATGTAGAACATCATCACAGGTGCATATTTTGTTCTGCATTTTTTAGAAATGATTTATGAGTTATCGTGATGATGAATAGAAAATATGCTTTAAGTGTTGTTTTATGTACAGAAGTAAGCCTCATTTTCATCAATGGACGACTTGATCAGATCAGAATATTTGATTATTGTTCATTTCTGCCATATCCATATAATGGTAATTCCTTTAGGTATAATGATTGAAAGTAAATCTAACTTGTGACTGTCACTTTTTAAGTTGAATAATTCAATTGTGAATATAATTTAGGAGTGATACTTAAGTAAATTACCATGTGTGTGTAATTTATGAGCATATATTATGATTATCACATAATTGCTATTTTATTATCCTATCGAATGGAGTTCAGAGGGATATAGGGAACGCCTCCATCCGTCTGTCCGTCCGTCCGTACATACTTCTGTCTGTCCGTCCAGGCAATAACTCAAATACCATTGGCCCGATTTTGTTCATATTTTGTAAACATATACCCTATGGGGGTAGAAGTTCTGCTCAAAAGCCGATTTTCAAAATGGCCGCTCATTCAAGAATGGTGCCGATTTAGTGCCGATTTTACAGTAATTTATTATTACTAATTAATGTTCCAACTTTGTTTTTGTTTCAGAGCGTTCAGCATGAGAATTCCTACAGAGATCCTAAAGCAAAATATTGCTATGGCGATAAACCCCCAGACCTGCAGCCAGTTGCCATACAATAATCATATGACATCATAATCTAACCAATGATGTCATAATGGTGGATATTATATGCTGAGCACACAAAATGTGATGAATATAAATGCTGACATAAAATTTACACTAATTTATGCATTTTATATATGAACTAATTTATGAATTGGTCATTAAGCTATGCATAAAGGTGGCACTGTAGACTAACTAGAAATATATATTCAAAGCAAGCGCTGTGATAAACAAGGAGCTTATGAAACAATAAAAGAAATATGATGCATTTTTTAACAATACCAATAAAGACCACAAGAAGGAATAAAATGCATTTATAAACAATTCCAAATATGGACCACAACAAGGAAAACAAGGCAGCTGATTGGTTGGATTCATGTTTCAAGGAAACATTGCTGCCACAATCACCATGGAAACAGGTGAACATTCATATGTTGAATTTTTATGAAAAACTAAACGTGTATACAATACATCTTAATTTGTATGTTGTACATAAAGGGTACCTTATAGTACAAGGAGTGTTCAAATCAAACATACCCAAACATCTTAAAACCTTTACTGTCACAATTTCTCCCCAGAATTTTTCAAAACTTTTTTTGAAATTAATACAAGTTTCTTCCTAGCATTTAAAATGTTTCCTTTTGTATGTGGATCATGTAAACATATCATAAGTATTATGCATATTTATGAATGTTTATTCAATGCGAGATTTATTGATTATTCCAGGTCTCTGAAAATATCTGTAAGACACTGGCAAAGAAGGTCTCTAATCAGTTCAAGCATGAGAAGCGCAAGGAAGTTATATTGCAGACCTTAGGTGAACCCTTCGCTAAACAGTACTTCCCTGATGAGCTGCCTAATGCTAATATTCTGGTATGTAGTCCTTATATGGATGTTTTTTCGTTAAAGAGTCACTGTCACAGGGTGGCACAAAGAAATTTAAATATCTTTAAATAGTGTGTATGTCATATGCAAGCAATTCTCGAAGCACTTTAAATAGAGCTTGAATATAAAGATGAACTTATTTTTAACCACACTCTTTATGTGTTACTTCATTCAAATTTCTCTAAGGAATTTCAGCGCAAGCTCTCAAAGTCATTTTTCAAAATTTAAGTTGTAGCATTTTTTCTGTTTTCGCCAAGGTCAGCAGCCACAGTATTTGTCCTAAAATAATTATTTTGCTGAATCAATTCAAATTTTATATATATTTTCATAGGCTCCTCCACACACTAGTGTTGAAGAGAGGAGGCAACTAGAAGTAGAGGCCCACTCTTGGTTGTATAACCAGGTTATCAAGATAGGCAAGGGGCAAGGCTGTTACAGAATTCCACCAGGGGCTAACAGGTAGAGAAAAAATCATTGATAACTGAAAATAGCTATTTTGTTTAATCATCTTTATGTAATTTTTATGTCACTACCACCAAATGTTGTGACATATTTTGATATTTTTGGTTCGTGTTTGGCATTCAGCGGTCTCGGGTTGGTGACTGTAACAAATGACAGGTGGTGACATTTTGCATGTGAATTCCTTGTTAGTGTTTGCTAAATGCCTATTTACTCTATACCTTTCTTATTTCACTCTTTTGTACCTTATTTTTTATTTTAAAACATTACCATAGCATTTTTTTTTGTTTATTGCAGAGATGGTTTGAGTGAAGAAATGAAGGAGTTCCTGTCACACACCTATTTGGTAATGCATGATGGCATGGACAGGGAACTACATAAACTAGAGCAAGCAGCAGTTGTAAGACAGTTAACATAACATTTATTCTGTTTATGAAATAATGGAAAAGTGATGGTAATCTTTGTGGAATGAAGTCTGAACTGGGATTCTTAAGAAATTACATGGCCGGGAATGATAAGAGCCCAAAATATTTAAAGATTGTAACAATTTTTGGGAGAAAAGTGACTTACTACAGTAGAGCTAACTTTGCCTTTAAAATACCTGCCCATTGCCTAACTTTAGAATGATATTTTATCTCAATCATTCTAAGTTCTCATATTGCAGTCTGACTCAATGTGAAATCATTTCTGATTTTTTCATGGAATTTTAACATGGAAACAATTGCAAAAGTTTTATAAAACAAGAGGAGAAATCACCTGGTGCAAATAGAACCTCTGCATGAAATAAACTATTTGCATCCTAAAGTGGGTGCATAAAGGAGAATGTCAAATGATACTCCCTGGTTTCAATTTCAGAAAAAGAAGCGTCATGAAATACAGGAAGAGAAGGAGCATAAACGTAAACGTGAGATAGCAAGACTGGAAACATGGCCACTTCGACGAAGACAATCGTCACTTCTCTCTGCCCAGAGTTCAATGGCATCAGTTCCAACCTCAGCTAAGATAAAAGGTACACTTTCATAGCATTGTATTTTATTTTATTGTATGATCTGTAAAATGAAGCCTTCTGATTGGTCAGTTCTTGTGCTGTACCAATCTGTATTGCTACTGAGATTGTCTCCATTGATCATCTCCATTGCAATACAGAAAATATTGGTACGGAGGGAACATTCTCAGTAGCAATACAGAGGATCACACGATAAAAACGTTATGAAATGATTTGAAGTGCAATACAGGATATATTCTGTCTCGATATTCTGTATTGGCACTCAACTTTGTCTCGTTCCAATACAGAATTTCTCGAGCAGAATATATCCTGTATCGCACTTCAAATCATTCAATAACTTATAGTATTTATACAAAAAATGTAATCCAAAGATTCAAAATCATATTAGGCTACTTGCAAAGGCCAATATTCTGAAAATGTGAAACGTGAAACATCTATTTCTTTATTTCAACACATTAGATACATCATGCTCTTCTTTAATTAGTCTGAGACTAATGATTACATTCATTATCTTTACATCTTAATTACATTGTTATGTGATTCTAATGAATGCAAAGGTATAATTTTCCTGTCTGTCAATTACATGTCTTACCTCTGTTGCAACACCCATTGTTGACGAGCTAATTATATTTTAATGACGTAAATTTGTATTCTTGTAACACATCATTAGTCTCATGTTCTTCATTCATTCACTAATTAGTTAGTTATATTCAGTTCAAGCTAAATAAATATCCCTTTGGAATATCTTGTCTTAATTAAATCATTTTTGCTCTTGCTCTTTTGCTCTTTTAAGTCTTCCTTTCTGCCCTTTTGATGTTTGTGCAAACCACAAAGTACAAAATCATTTTTTTCCTAACAATCCAAACATGTAGGTTAAAATCTTCAGTTTTGTGTTATCTTATTTTACATCTGTTCTATGTGAAGTCCCAAGATTTAAAATAAATGAAAAAAAATTGATGCCAATATACATATTTCCCGTTGAATATGGCCTGGTATTCAACGATGAATACATCTTTTGGCATAATGGATGGAATACTGTTACATATTGTTAGTCACATGGTATCTTATTGACCAATGAGAGAATAAGTATCACAGAATGGAAATAATGAGACAACATATTGAAGACAATCTTTCTATCTGAAAAGTGATATAACATTGTACTAGCAGTGTTTGATTTTGTTTTATGTAGTTGCTAAGTTATATGTAGATAACTCATCAAAGCATTTCGGTGGAACTTAGGAATCTAAACTTAGATGATTGAACTTATGTGGGATGTATTAAAGAAACAAATTTATTCATTCACAACACAGTTTCATGCTCAATATGTGTAAAACACTCTACTTTACCACCTGACCACTTATGAAAGGGATACAGGCTACAGAGAAGTTACAAATGGAGGAGGTTTGTTTATTTCCATATTTCTGAAGGTATACTAGATTTTACATATATTCCAAGTCAGCGCTTGCATTAGGTTAGAAAATTTGTGAGTCCAAAGGACGCAATTTTTTAAAAAAAGTGTGTCCTTTGAAAAAAAGTGTGTCCCCTATTTCTAGCCTGTTTTGAGGTATAACTTTATTTTAAAAGCATTTTTTACCAAAACACCTTGAAGTTAATTTTGTCACATGATTGTCTTTGCTTCAACACAACAATAGGTCAGTAAAACATCTTTCCAATGTTACTTTTATTAACTTACGTATATCTTACTTGTCATATTTTCAGTTTTTGATTTCTTGTCGCGAATTTAAAATGGAAGTAAACGTTAATGAATACATTTTATTTCATAACAACCTAATATTTGTTTCTGAATAGGAAAAACTGTGGCCTGTCATGGTTTCAAATCTAAAAATAAACAAAGTTGAAAAAATTCGAGAGAATCATGATTAGTTGTAAATATTCAACATGTTGAGCCTCATTTACGATTCAAATAAAGGTGAGAGATCATAATTATTTGTTTTTGTTAGGTATCGTTGTAAACACATTGTAGTATTGACCTAAAAAAAAATTTGCATCCAAAAAACGGAAATATTTTCAATTTTTGCGTCCTCCAAATTATTTTTGAGTCCTTAACATGTACGGGACGCCGTTAATGCAAGCCCTGCAAGTGTTCTACTATACATTGTATAGATTCATCGAGGAGTTTGTATTATTACAAGAAAAACCCTATAAACAATGATAGAGAATACCCACTCCATTTGCAACTTAACTGTAACCTGTATCCCTTTTAAATGTGGTCACATGGTAGGTAGAGAGTAAAAGTATGATTGACGTTCTTTTAATGACTTCAAAGCATAAGCAGAAGACAATGTGTACCTTGGCTGAACCAGAACATATTTGGACACTTATCTAGCAATAAGGACATGTGACCTGATATGACTTTTATATATACAGTATGTGGAAATCAAGGCATGGAATTTAGTTTTATTATTTCTGATGGTTGTTATTCTGGAATATTTCCTAATAGACTGTAGCATTTGGAATTAATTGACTTTTCATACCTGCGACACACCTGAGGTATGAATAATAAGTTATGGAATTAAGATACATTATTGAGACTAGACATATACAAGAAGCAAGTAGGTTCAAAATGTGGCAGAACACAGCAGAATAAACAGGTGGGAAAGACTTCAAGAGTTGCGGCTATTCATACTTATAAGTACTGACAGTAAATACTCAGAATGAATGCTACAAACATGGATATAGATTCTATAAACATGAACACAACTGCCAAAAATACTTCAATAATGAACATGAATGTGGCAAACGTTAATGTAACCACTGACATGAATACTACAAACACTAACAATACAGAAATTTTTCACCCACATAATATGCCTGCAGGATTAAAGATGTGTCATTTGATTATTGAAGTGATTTTGGCTATAATTACAGTGATACCAAATGGTGTTGTGCTGCTCAGTTACGTAAAAAGCACAGCCCTGCAGGCAGAGCGCTACATTCTTCTGATGAGCCTAAGCTTCTGTGACTTTTTAGTAGGTCTACTCGCTCTTCCTGTCAGCACTGTTTATCATTTCATTCCGATCAACTACGATTATATTAATGAACGCTATCTGTGCACAGCTCGCACATTCATCGTTGTTGTTTTATTAGGCGTCTCCATCTTTCACCTTGCCGTTATATCGCTGCTGAGATTCATAACAATCCAATGGCCAATGCAGCATGCCCGATTCCTGACATCCTTTACATTGAAGGTGATCGCTGTCATTATGTGGATGTATGCCATCTTCCTCAACCACTTCATGTTTTTTGACAAATTCAACACCTGGATGCCTGATACTGGTAGCTGTCTCATATATTATATTGCAGTTCCTGGCTATTTCAAAATTATTCAGTGGCATGTCATTTTGTTCATGATTGTATGTCTCATCAGTTCCATTATGATTGGATACATTGCATGGAAACAGAGCAAGAAAATCGCTCAGGTAATTGTTCTCTCTGATGCAAATAAGGAAAAGTTAAAAACGGAGAAGAAATATACAAAGACATTACTGTTGATTGTTGGACTCTTCCTCATAACCTTTCTCCCTTTTAGTATATTTAGCTCCTTTCGATTTGATATAGACTCTGTATGGCTACAAAGTTTTGGACTGTTTATTTCCATGTTTGGATTTTGTAACAGCGCAATGAATCCATGGGTCTACGCTCTACGGCATCAGACTTTCCGTCATGCCATGTTACGCACACTCAAGTGTTCTGGCACCACAACAAGTGTTACAAGTGCAAGCTAGGTTCACAAGGTGCAATTAAGCAGGACATTCTTGTTTATTAACTCCTACCAAAGGAATGGGGTATTAAGGAGGGAAATAAACAGTTATTCAACAAAGAGCGAATTTGTCTGTTTCCACAGTCAGGCTCAAAATTAGATTAAAATTAGATAATTTTCTAAAGCATTTGTGCTGCAAATCTACAAGTAACAGTGTTTTGTTTGGATTGTTTTAGATTAAGTTCCTTTTTACAAAATGGTGTGGTATTTTGATTTCAAACCACTCTGTTATTTAGGCAGAGTTTGTTTTTCTGATACAAATTCCTACCTCAAATATCACAATCAATTATTCTGAAAACAGCATGTTGTTATTAATTGCATATTATTATTATTATGAGCTTTATTATACTTGTATCCCACATTTGGGCAAAGTGTACAGCTTAAACAGAAGAAAATGAAAAAGCTTAACTAATTATCTATATAGTATATTAACTAATCAAAGGGTGCTTGATCATTGCAAGATTTTATTGGATGCATTTCGTGTTTTTTTCTCTCTCGATAAAAATATTGGATATATATTTTGTTAGTATATTTAATATTATTCCCTCTGAATTAAATAGAAACATTAATTTATGTTCCACGTTATTCATGTTTTCTAAATTTTGACAGTGTTTTTTTATTTTATCCATGTAACTTGACTGAACATCTTTTAACTTATTGCATTCTAATAGGAAATGGCATTCTGAACCGGTTTTCTTGTTACACATTAAACATTTTCTTTTTTCCATATGAAATATTAAATCACTGCATGCCTGTTGTTCTGTATAATTATGATCTGTACATACCATATTGTCTCTAATTTATGAATAAAGAAACTGAATTATAAGATTGTCTTATGTAGTCCATCATTGTCTTTTACATATATTCCAAGTGTACTACTTAAGATTCATGTATTTATTACCAGAAAAGCACAAGGATTGAGAATATCCACTCCATTTGCAACTGCACTTAAGCCTGTATCCATCTTAAAAGTTGTCACATGGTAGGGTAGAGTTTAAAAGTGTAAACGTGATTGACACTAATGACTTCAAAGCATAAGTGGAAGACAATATGTACCGTAGTTGAACCACAGTGGATTTAGACACTTACCTAACAATAATAGAATCAAGGACCTGTGACTTGAAATGACATTTCACTGCAAACTGACTGAAATGTGTGTGGGTTGATAAGCTCTGGATGAAAGGTTTCATCAGGAAGGAAAATTAAGAAATCATTAGACACTCAGTTTGTTTTAATATCTTGAAATCAAGACACTGGGTTTAGTTGTATTATTCCCACCTGCGACACACCAGGTATGAATAATAAGTTACTGAATTGATAAACATAATCAAGGCTGGACGTAGAGAGGGGACACGTCTGATATTTCAAACAACATTAGAACACATAAGAATAAACAGGTGGGATAGACTTCAAGAGTTGCGACTATTCATAAGTGAAAGAACTTACAGTAAATACTCAGAATGAATGCTACAAACATGGATATAGATGCTTTAAACATGAACATAACTGCCAAAAATACTACAACAATGAACATGAATGCTACAAACATAAGTGCAACTGAAATGAATGCTACAAACATTAACAATACAGATATAACAGAAATATTTCACCCACAAAATATGCCTATAGGATTAAAGATGTGTCATATGATTATTGAAGTGATTTTGGCTATAATTACAGTGATACCAAATGGTGTTGTGCTCCTCAGTTACGTAAAAAGCACAGCCCTGCAGGCAGAGCGCTATATTCTTCTGATGAGCTTATGCATCTGTGACTTTCTCGTAGGTCTACTCGCCCTTCCTGTCAGCACCGTTTATCATTTCATTCCGATCAACTATGATTATATAAATGAACGCTATCTTTGCACGGCTCGCACATTCATCGTTGTTGTTTTAGCAGGTGTCTCCATCTTTCACCTTGCGGTTATATCGCTGCTAAGATTCGTCACAATCCAATGGCCAATGCAGCATGCTCGATTCCTGACATCCTTTACATTGAAGGTGATCGCCGTCATTATGTGGATTCATATGACCTTCATGTGCTTCTTCATGTTTCTCGACAAATTTAACACTTGGACTCCTAATACTGGTAGCTGTCTCATATATAAAATCGTCGTTCCTGGCTATTACAAGATCCTTCAGTGGCATGTCATTTTGTTCATGATTGTATGTCTCATCAGTTCCATTATGATTGGATACATTGCATGGAAACAGAGCAAGAAAATCGCTCAAGTTGTTGGTCTCTCTGATGCTAACAAGGAAAAGGCAAAAATGGAGAAGAAATATACAAAGACATTACTGTTGATTGTTGGACTCTTCTTCTTAACATGCCTTCCCTTTACTATATTTAGCTCCTTTCGATTTGATATAGACTCTGTATGGCTACAAAGTTTTGGATTGTTTATTTCCATATTTGGATTGTGCAACAGCGCAATGAATCCATGGGTCTACGCTCTACGGCATCAGACTTTCCGTCATGCCATGTTACATGCACTCAAGTGCCCTGGCACCACAACCAATGATTCAAATTTGAACTAGATTCACAAGATAAATGAGGAGGACATTGTGTTTTACTTTTTTCCTAATAGAAGGAGGCACTTGAGGAAGGAGATAAACAGTTATTCAACAAAGAGTGAATTTGTCTTAACAATGTTGTGTCTAAATTGATACTGCCACAGTAACAGTACTGCCACAACTCAAAATAAGACTAAAACTAATTTAAGATGATTTTCAAAAGCCTGTTTTCAAATAACAGTGTCTTTATCACACTTTGAAAAAGTGATATTTTGCTGTTGTCTTGTTTGGACAGTGACTGTTTTATTAAATGGTGTGGTATATTGCATATTGAGTCACTGTCGTATTTAAGGTTTTTTTCTTTTCTGATACAAATTCCTTCTCAAGACCAAACAATTTATAAATCAAATATCAAAACATTTATTCTAAAAACAGCTTGTTGTAATTAATTAAAATCTTGTTGTTGTCATGTTTCAATCAGAGAATGAATATTAAATCACTGCATGCCTGTTGTTCTGTATAATTATGATCTGTACATACCATATTGTCTCAATTCTGGAGTATATGAATAAAGATACTGAATTGTAAAATTGTCTCATGTTGTCTACCATTGCCAAATCAATGTCTATTTATTGATGTGTTAACAAGACATTTAAGTGATTGATATAATTTTGGGGTTACACCAGAGATCATATATTATGGAATGAAAAGGAGTCAGCAATTTTTCGTTAAACAGAAAAACAGGAATTGATGTGCCAGATTAAGTGTGTCTGATACAATGAATACTAGATATCATAACTGATCTAATAGTAAAATATCATCATTTCAAATGGCAATATTAGTGAAGTATCGGACCAAGGGCCCAAGGTCCAATATTTCACTATTTTGCCCGCAGATATGACGTTATTAGTATTATTACCACTGTTAATGCCCAGGGATGAAATAGCAAGAACTGAGAACCACTGAACAGAAATTATATGCATTGAACGATATCTCATTTCCGGGGGAGTTGCCAGGCGTTAATGCATTATTGGTCCGCCACTATTACAGTATATGGCCTGTTACTACATGTATGACGTCACATATTGCTAAAGTCAATATAGTAAAATAAATGCCTTCTAAACTAGTACTAATACCCCTAGAACAGGCCCGGCAAAATGGTAATTAAATAATAGTACACTATATACGATGTAATCCTTCTTTAATAAATAGTTACTCAGATCACAGTAGGTAGTTACCAGTTTCACCACCAGGTGGCTTATTCAGATTAGGAAACATGGCAGATATAGTAGAAAGTTCCCTTAAATTTGAATATTATTTTTAGTAGATCAGTTTTTCATATTACCCTTATGTATCTAACAGTTATGCAAATGAAAATATGTCCAGTAAAAGAAAATGTTATCTGTCCAATACAAGAAAATGTATTGCACTTTTTGTACTTTTATAACATGATGTCTGTGGGGAATCTACCCAACCTAGAATGTACATTTTCAAAAAAAATTAAATTTTCAAAGTTGATTAACAATTTTGAGACCAAATTTCCCAGTTATATGTAATATGACATGTAGATATCAAATATGATTTTACTTTGACTAAATTTTGAATATTTAATGACGTAAATCAAGATTATTTCTACTATGCGTCTATAGTTGATTAACCCAATGGGGAACTCTAATGTTTGCCTTCACCCAAGGAGAACTGTTGATTAATTTGGATTGCGGAAACATAATCTGATTGTTTATAAGAGTTTTATCATGCCTACATATTGTAAGGCCATGCTCAAATTTCCTTGTCATGCCTATTATGTCACCACCACAAATTATTAGAGTCTCGAACTTTCTTATGTCAGTGGTTGGTGTTCAGCGTTTAGTGTTCTGCGTTCGGTGTCTGTAACAAATGGCAGGTTGTGACATTTTGCTTGTTTGTTTATGTTTATCCCATCAAACATAAAAATTGATTCATTAACTCACACAAAACAAATTGGTAGGAAAACTAAATACCATGTTATTTATTATTATGTTATTTATCTGTTGCTTAAACTACAGTTTTAGGTGATAAAAAAAATTAGGAATATGTTAAGAATTAAATTACTTATATAGTAGAAACTGTATTAGTGGAACACCTTTGTTCCTAAAATAGCATTCCACTTAAGAGGTGCTCCACAAACAGATGTCCAATTAATTGGTAACTGGAGTTGTTCCAATTTACAGGTTTCACTGTACCTGTGGGCCTTTATTATGCTATCACTACAAGACATATTGTTATACTTGTATTCCCAACTTTTTTGTAGACCATGTTCGGCATTCGGTGATTGGTGTCTGACGTTCGATAGTTGGCCTCTGTAACAAATGGCAGATGATGACATTGTGCTTGTTGATGTCTTGGTCAACAGTGTCATGAACAAGACATTTTGACTCCTTATGAGTGACAACTTTAAAGTTCTATAGGTTTGGCATCTATTTAATGGTGGTGAATAATTCGCTTTTATATGATTTATAGGTGTTATAAATGAACATGGGACCAGTGAGCCAGTATTCTGTTGCGCGATGAGTGACAACTTGTAAGTTTGGCATCTATTTAATGGTGGTGAATAATTCGCTTTTATATGTTTTATAGGTGTTATAAATGAACATGGGACCAGTGAGCCAGTATTCTGTAGCGCAATGAGTGACAACTTGTAGGTTTGGCATCTATTTAATGGTGGTGAATAATTCACTTTTATATGTTTTATAGGTGTTATAAATGAACATGGGACCAGTGAGCCAGTATTCTGTAGCATGATGAGTGACAACTTGTAGGTTTGGCATCTATTTAATGGTGGTGAATAATTTGCTTTTATATGTTTTATAGGTGTTATAAATGAACATGGGACCAGTGAGCCAGTATTCTGTAGCATGATGAGTGACAACTTGTCTGTTTGGCATCTATTTAATGGTGGTGAATAATTCGCTTTTATATGATTTATAGGTGTTATAAATGAACATGGGACCAGTGAACCAGTATTCTGTAGCATGATGAGTGACAACTTGTAGGTTTGGCATCCATTGAATGGTGGAGAATAATTCGCTTTTATATGTTTTATAGGTGTTATAAATGAACATGGGACCAGTGAGCCAGTATTCTGTAGCATGATGAGTGACAACTTGTAGGTTTGGCATCTATTTAATGGTGGTGAATAATTCGCTTTTATATGTTTTATAGGTGTTATAAATGAACATGGGACCAGTGAACCAGTATTCTGTAGCATGATGAGTGACAACTTGTAGGTTTGGCATCTATTTAATGGTGGTGAATAATTCACTTTTATATGTTTTATAGGTGTTATAAATGAACATGGGACCAGTGAACCAGTATTCTGTAGCATGATGAGTGACAACTTGTAGGTTTGGCATCTATTTAATGGTGGTGAATAATTCACTTTTATATGTTTTATAGGTGTTATAAATGAACATGGGACCAGTGAGCCAGTATTCTGTAGTGCTATGAGTGACAACTTGTAGGTTTGGCATCTATTTAATGGTGGTGAATAATTCGCTTTTATATGTTTTATAGGTGTTATAAATGAACATGGGACCAGTGAACCAGTATTCTGTAGCATGATGAGTGACAACTTGTAGGTTTGGCATCTATTTAATGGTGGTGAATAATTCGCTTTTATATGTTTTATAGGTGTTATAAATGAACATGGGACCAGTGAACCAGTATTCTGTAGCATGATGAGTGACAACTTGTAGGTTTGGCATCTATTTGATGGTGGTGAATAATTCGCTTTTATATGTTTTATAGGTGTTATAAATGAACATGGGACCAGTGAACCAGTATTCTGTAGCATGATGAGTGACAACTTGTAGGTTTGGCATCTATTTAATGGTGGTGAATAATTCGCTTTTATATGTTTTATAGGTGTTATAAATGAACATGGGACCAGTGAACCAGTATTCTGTAGCATGATGAGTGACAACTTGTAGGTTTGGCATCTATTTAACGGTGGTGAATAATTCGCTTTTATATGTTTTATAGGTGTTATAAATGAACATGGGACCAGTGAACCAGTATTCTGTAGCATGATGAGTGACAACTTGTAGGTTTGGCATCTATTTAACGGTGGTGAATAATTCGCTTTTATATGTTTTATAGGTGTTATAAATGAACATGGGACCTGTGAGCCAGTATTCTGTAGCGCGATGAGTGATAACTTGTAGGTTTGGCATCTATTTAATGGTGGTGAATAATTCACTTTTATATGTTTTATAGGTGTTATAAATGAACATGGGACCAGTGAGCGAGTATTCTGTAGCACGATGAGTGACAACTTGTAGGTTTGGCATCTATTTAATGGTGGTGAATAATTCACTTTTATATGTTTTATAGGTGTTATAAATGAACATGGGACCAGTGAGCGAGTATTCTGTAGCACGATGAGTGACAACTTGTAGGTTTGGCATCTATTTAATGGTGGTGAATAATTCGCTTTTGTATGTTTTATAGGTGTTATAAATGAACATGGGACCAGTGAACCAGTATTCTGTAGCGCAATGAGTGACAACTTGTCGGTTTGGCATCTATTTAATGGTGGTGAATAATTCGCTTTTATATGATTTATAGGTGTTATAAATGAACATGGGACCAGTGAGCCAGTATTCTGTAGCGCAATGAGTGAGGCAATAGGGGAGTCTGTGATTGATATATTGAAGAAAGATCCTCGTAGATTTGACGAGGTCACTGCAAGACTTCATGGAAAGCAACTCCCGGAGACTCTACGCTCGTACATGTGGGATGACGTTTTATTAAAGGAAGAGCGAAGCCGAATGAAAGATGCGTAAGTTGATTTGAAGTATATTTTAACATTATTATTTTGAATGACTTCATTTATAATTACTAAAACACTAAGATGAATTTTATTCAGTATTCATGTTAGATAAGAAATTTTAGGAGAAAGAATGATTGAATATAAGTATGTATCTCATACTTAAGTGTGTTTGGGGTAGATATCACCCGAGAATTTATATCATATCTAAGGAGCAGGCAGGATATATTGTATATGTTCCGCTCCAGGCCAAATGCGGGCAGATATAATATATCCATCCCACTTCCGGGAATTTTTCAATATAATCATTCTATTTTCATGCAGTGTAATAGTCCCTTTAGTCCCTCTGGAGATTTAAATATATCTCTTGGGATATACCCTATATCCAAAACCTCCCAGTACATAACCCTTATATATAATGTATATAGTACATACACCAACATTTAAGCACTCTCTCCTGCTATGATGAACAACCCTCTACTGCCATCTGTATGACTCGTTAATCTTGTTTTTTAGCCATACCAATCAAAGGCAAATTACCCCTACAGGGTATAATAGTGTAAAAACTGTAAACCCTAGGCAAAATAAAATGATTTCAAATGATTTCATTTCCCTCATGATGTGTGCTGATGCGTTTTCTCATCCAAAACACATGTTATTTAACAAGATGCAAATCTAGTAAGATTGACACAAACTCAGGCCAATTAAGCCAAAAGATTCCAAGAGGGAGTTCACTTTTGCCAACCTTGCCCCAAAACTGCTTGAAAATGCTCAAAATAGTGAAAACTGTATGGTTTTTAAAGAATTTTTGGCCAGGGGTTGCGGGGGAGGGTTTGCTTGAACCCTAACTTATGTTTGTTTTAATTTTAAGGAATACTGAGACATTGGTGCGAGAGAGGTTTGGTAAAGGTGTTGCAAGAGGAGTCAGTGATTTGAAGATCAATAGGGCGACACAATCTCCCATAGCTGGACTTATTGAGAATGCTGTCATTGAGGTACAGTGTGTTTGTCCTTTAATTAATAATATTATGAAGGTTTTTGATAAATCTTGTAATCGCCATTTCAGGAAAACCGTTCACCAGATTTTCTCCAAATTCGCACACATGATAGAGGATGTCAAGTTCTAGAGCTGATTAACTTCTGGGTGGCAATCTTGTTTTTTGGTTGCCATTTTGAAGCTTTTTTGATAAATGTTTGATATTAATTTGGGGAAAAAACTTCTAAAGATGATCAAATTTGTAAATTAGATCTTACAATGTTTTTTTAGTATCTTCAGAGGTTTTTCAGTAATATGCACATACAGTAAAACTTTTTGGATGGAAAACCATCTGGAATAAAGGAACAGTTCTCTCTCAATTTTCAAAAGAATCGAGTTCCTTTGGTTTACATGCTTATGAACCTTTGTATGTGACACATGTCTATAAATAACTCTTTTTAACCAGTACAGTTATATTGTTCGATCAACATTATTACATTTTGTAAATAGTAATTAATTAATTTGCATGCAATAAATACAAGTAAAAATGGTGTTCCATATGCTCAGGTTTTACTGAACTATCAGTTTTAAGACAGGCCATTTATGATTGTAGTGATTACTAGACAGTCTAAATAAAAAATAAAGAATTGAAACTCAAAAATAAAATGGACACTAACAGAACTGTGTATATTTTGTGAATTTGGCTTTCACATCTATTATATAGTTCATGTATTTGAGCAAGTATTTTAAAATCATTAACGAGCAAGTATCTTAATTTCATGAGGATCCATATAGTAGTTAATAGGTTTATCATAGTTCTGACTAGACTCCTACTATTCCCCCTACTGAACCAACGAATGGTGCCAGTTTTGTAATTTAAGTTGAATAAGCAAGTGTATCACGTTTGTATGAATTTGATGAGGATCCATTTTGTAATACGGTTGGTCCCTTCTCCTATTTTTGCAGCCTCAGAATCCACCAAATGGTGTAAATTTTGTAATTTAAATTGAAGGACGTAATTGTCATTACATTAACTTATCTATGTTCATACGAAAGTGGTATATACCTCAGAAATTGGGAGTCTTATACCAATAGTCCAAAATTTCTATTTGTAGACATATGAGAAAACAGCGAGTATGGAACCTTACCAGAGTGCCACACACATGAAAGAAGCTGTGAGAGTACTGAATATTCTCTACACATATGATAGAAGTTATGAACCATACCTCATCTATTGGTTATTACTGCTACAAATAGCCAACAAAAATACAAGAGATGCAGGTAAGATAAAACTGTTTATCCCATACAAGGATGTATTTTAGGTACATGAAGCAGGTTATTAAATAGTATTTTCATCGGCAGGCAGGATATACCAGTAGCTTTACTTTTGGCTGAGGGGGTAGATATTCAAAAACAAAACAAACCTAGACATTAATATTCTAAAAGAATTCCTAAGGTTGAAATTTTTTGAACTCTGCATAGAATACCACTCTCCCCATTATAAAACAATTCTTGGATGTTTTATAAAACAATACAAAAACTCGAATTGTCTTGAATGGTAATCATTCTATAAGGGATTACAATCCATATATGAATTTTTTTAGCTGAGCATGTATATGACCTGGCCATGAAGTTAGACCTCCTGCAAAAGAACTGTTTCCCTAGCTGGCCTGAAGTGTTTGAAACTGCGGAGAAAACACTGACGCAACTCCAGAGTGTAGACAGTGAATTCTATAATCATTTGAAAGATATCGCCCAGAAGAATGTGCAGTCAAATCCTAAGGTTTGTGTAGTGTTTATATTCATGGACCTGTATAATTTGGATTTGAAATAAAATGTTTTGTAATTTGAGAATTGATTAATTTGTGATATTTTGAAATTATTTTGCCACTACATATTAAAAGGAATATGATTGAAAATGGAGAATTTGAAAAATAATCATGCACTTTTCTGAACAAGATATCCTACTTTTGTATGGCAGCATCTAGTGTAACAATGCAATCCTGGCAAACATTAAACATTTGCAAGAGATAAGGCATAATAGCATTTAATGAATTGCTTGGAGATAGACATGATCAAGAAAGCACTCAGGTTCCTTCTAATAGTATCCAAAATATTTGCTTTTCAGGAGTTCATGGTTCAATTACTTCACCAGGAGAAGCTGCAGAAAACAGCAACAACTGATGCTCCCTCGCGTGAGCTGCTGGCTGATCCAATCATATTCCTTCGTAAATGGATCGGGGAAGTAAGATATCTTTCATTACTATGTATTATATTGTTTGAAATAGATCAGCACAATAATGATGTAACTGGACATTGTATACAGTTAAGAATTTGAAAATCTTTTGACTGAAAACATAACACATTTTAGACGTATTTTTGTTTGGATTTCAAATATCATTTTGGCTGTATTAGATAAAAATAAAATCATGAAATCATGATGATCTGCAATTAGGTGACAATCAAGTCTATAATTGCTATCTCAGTGTGATATGTTACACTCTGTGTTTTTGACTTGTATGAATATTTGCTATTTCAGGGTTTTGTAGGCATACTAGACATTCAGGCAGCTATAATTGTATGGGACCAGTGTATTATGCAAAAGTGGAACCCTATGGCCCTTCTAATGCTATTGCTTTATGTTGTAGGGCTTTGTAGGCATATTGGACATCCAGGCAGCTATAATTGTATGGGACCAGTGTATTATGCAAAAGTGGAACTCTATGGCCTTCCTAATGCTATTGTTTTATGTTATAGGGCTTTGTAGGCATACTGGACATTCAGGCAGCTATAATTGTATGGGACCAGTGTAATATGCAAAAGTGGTACCTTATGGCCCTTCTAATGCTATTGTTTTATGTTATAGGGCTTTGTAGGCATATTGGACATTCAGGCAGCTATAATTGTATGGGACCAGTGTATTATGCAAAAGTGGAACCCAAAGGTGCTACAGGACTTTGCCATAGCCCTACTAATGCTACTGAGAGTATACTTCATTGAGGCAACAGATTACCCCAAAATGAGAAAGGTATGTCTGAAAAAGCTGGAAATTAATATTAAGCCAGTACATAACTCTTGCATAAAATATGGCTACATTCTTTTAAATTTAGGCAATTAAAAATAAAATAAAACTACTTTTTATCTCCACTGACAGAAAATAGTTAACTATGCTGATCTACATGTATGCCAGTTTCATTGTGCCAGTGTAATGTCAGTCCTAATTTTCTTTGTATGCCAATCTTCATATTGCTGAAACTCTAGGATCACTCTAACCTCATACATGTATTTAACACAAGTTGTGAATAATCTTCAAGCTAGACATCAGCAGCCCCAAAGATTTGCCGATTTCGATGTAATTAGTAGGTGACATATTATTATAGTCTCCAACTTTTTGTGGCTGGTGTTCGTTGGTTGGCATCTGTAACAAATGGCAGGGGGTGACATTTTGCACCTCGTGTATATCTGTAATCAAAGCATTATATAAATTCACAATATGTTGCAGATATTCCTGGAAGGGCCATGTAATTTATATACAATGGATATTCTCAAAGCTTGGGTACATTTACAACATCAAAACATTACATAAATTCACAATATGTTGCAGATATTCCTGGAAGGGCCATGTAATTTATATACAATTGACATTCTAAAAGCTTGGGTACATTTACAACATCAAAACATTACATAGATTTACAATATGTTGCAGATATTCCTGGAAGGGCCATGTAGTTTATATACAATGGACATTCTAAAAGCTTGGGTACATTTACAACATGGTTGCGATCCCACAGAGGTGCCATCTATGAACAGACTTACACAACTAAGGTATAAAATAAGCATGATCAAGTTTATTTTACTGCATATTACACCCCCAATCTGCACTCTAAAATCACGTTACCATGCTGTGCATTACGATTATTGTGCCAAGGATATGGTTTGAGTATGACACTGTACACTGTTTCAGAACTGTACCATTTTAGTCTACAGTACCATATTTTATGGTACTGTACAGTACCCTTACCAAAATGGTACCGTACAGTACTGTTGCAGATTGGCTGTGTGTAATACTATTCTACAACAAAAGTTTGAGAAATGAAAAATGTTATAATCACATTATCCCCATAATTTCAAAAATTCAATCTGAGAGAACACACATAGAAAATTGTTATAGTTTTTCTTGACACTTACAGGTCTAATCAGACTCCATCCAGAGTCAGTCGTAGGACTGCTAGACCTGGTAGTATTGCCTCTGTGTCTCTTAGCCCTAATGGACGAGTCCTGGAACCAATAGGAGTGAAGAACATCTCTCTTAAGTTGATTGTTCCACCTGACAGCATTAAGAAGGTAGCTAAATCAACTATTACCTCTTCATAGTATTTGTTCATTGCATATACCCCCCCCCCCTCCTAAATAAGATTTGTTGCTATTTGGGTATGTTCTAGGAACTCCCCTGTATCTCTGTTATTTGTGGAGTGAACAAAAGTGTAATATTTTAAGTGGCCTGTTATATATAAATCCTGGCATCAGCCCCCCCCCCCCATTCCACCATTTAACCTCCATCCTCCACAGAATATTGATGCATAAATAAAGCTGTATCAGTGGAACATTATTCAGGAAGAAAAAATATCTTTATGTTTTGGCCCCTTTAGCCTTATTGCTGTTTTAAAAATGTTGTACATTTTAGACAAAGTCAATTGTCAATTATGTCATACTGATCATGTGTTAGCTTGACATTGATTTAACATTAAAAGTCATGATATGAGTAACTTTGTAAAAATTTCCTGATTTCACTTCCTCTTCCTTTTAGTTTGCTTAATAATCATGATGTTTCCCTTTTTCATTTTTGAATCAAGGAATTTTTAGTAGCAGATGTATATCTTGTTAAGAAAAATCAACCATCTGTTTCTGAGAAGTTTGTTCAGAGAAGTTTCAATGTAACTTGATTAATTAGTCTTTGTTTGAATACTTGAACAGCTTTCATAAAGGGGAAACAAATGGGAGGTTTTGAGTATTAGGGTACATCATATTTTACCAGGATTTCATTTTTTATATTTTGCTTGCACTTTAACATTGCTTCACATTATTGGAGAATCACCAATTTTTGAAACTGTGATATAGCCCTGTAAATTTTGTGAAGATTATTCACAACTTGCGATTAAAAACATGGACAAGGTTACAGTGATCTTGGAGTCTCAGCAATTATATTTTTGCGCTTTCATTTTATGTATATTATTGAGTTTCTAGAGGGTATCTAAGTCGAAGATTTCTAAAGGGACCATGAATCCAAAAAGATGTTTCTCGAGGGGTGACATACTGGCAGGGGATATGCTTGAAGCAGGGGCCAAAAGGCCAAATTACTTGAAAAGGTTGAAATGAAAATGAACTAAAAAATAGATAGGTCAGGCAAATTAAACAGTAATTTCATTCTCCAAGGCGTATCGATTGAAATGATTGAAATGGTTGAAAAGTCCTGGAGAAATGCTTGAAACAAAAAACGTGCATGTTTGTTTTTCCTGTTTCGCCTGAGTCTTTATGAATTGGTCATGTGATTGAAGAGCTTGAAATGGAGAAAAAATGTTTGTAATGACTTAATCATTGAAACAGAGAAAATGATACATGCATTGAAACGATTGAACTGATTGAAATGCTTGAAACAATTGAAACGTTTGCAACAATTGAAACCTAAATTACAGTGTGTATGGGCTTAATAACCAACAGCTTTTACTCCAAGTAAATCAAATACATTCACTCTGTCAAATCATTCCAAAATCTTCTAGAATTAGATGTTAGTCAAATTTCCGATGCACCTTTTTACTATTGATCATGATCAAAAGGTCATATTTCACTGGCATGTAGCGGCCCTGATATCGATAAATTCTACACGCAATATAACCCGATTCTACATGCTTGGTTAAAACTTTACACGAAAAAGCTTCGATATCCGGGCATTTACTCTTACACTGAACTGAAAATAGCATCGTCTAAACGTGTATGTGTTGGCTTCCGGGTAAGTTTATCAACATTTATACTCAATTGAAAGAGCAGTCATGCTTATATCGTGTACCAGTTTGATTTATTTATATGTGTGTGTATTTATAACATGATAGCCTAGTAATACCGTGTCGTTAGAACAACTGCTAGATATCGAACTGATGACCTGAAATTACATTATTGGACTGATCGCGCATCTGATATTAAATGATTAATTTGCATTGAATCTGATAACTTGACTTGCAACCCAATACCATGACTTTACATTTGAATGATAACACGGCCTCATATTCTAATCCATTATACGTCCATTGCAGGCCAAAAATGTTTCAATGTGGATATTGTAATGCACACAAGAATACATTTGATTCGTATATTGATCATACATCAATTGAACGTGGAGATTTTCCTGTACACTTTTCCCAAACCTGTGGAATAGACAAGATGCGAGTAGAAATTATCTTGATTTACGTCATCAAATATTCAAAATTCATTTTTTGAAAAAATCCGAAACCATCCAATATCACTTTTCAAACCATCGAATATCACTTTTTAAGACGTGATATTCGATAGTTTAAAAGTGATATTCGATGGTTTGTAAATTGTTTGCTAAAATATGATATCTTGGTCCACATATCAAATATATCATCATGTGATATTCGATCTATATCATTGCAACCATGGGATATAGAGGATATCCTATGATTTATGGATGAGAGATATGATTTTTATCCACGAATGAATATGATATCTGCACGAGCGAGCGTAGCGACATTTTTTTCACATTTTTTTGCATAATTTTTTTTCAGAATATTTTCAAAACTTTTTTTTCAAATTTTTTTCAAAATCTTTTTACATAATTTTTTTCCACAATTTTTTCAGATTTTTATTTTCAGATTTTTTTTCATAAATTCCAAATTTTTTTTTCAATTTTTTTTCCCGAATTTTTTTCCCACATTTTTTTCAAATTTTTTTCACCTTTTTTTGGCATAATTTTTTTTCAGAATATTTTCAAAACTTTTCTTTCAAATCTTTGTCAAAAATTTTTTACCAAATTTTTTTCCTGAATTTATTTTTAACATTTTTTTTGAGCGGGACATACGATTTATATGTCCCGGACCTCCGTCGGAGCGGGACACACGAATAATATTTGCCGGATATGGAATATATTCCCGGTTGATATGCCCCTGAAACCTCATCAGGTATGGAATACATAAGGGTTATGTACAGGGAGGTTTTGGATATGGGGTTTATCCAGAGGGAGATATGCATATTTACCTGAGGGACCGTAGGGACCGAAGGTAGATGTGCATATCTCACGAGGGATGAACCCCATATCTAAACCGACCGTACATAACTGCTTTATCCTATACCAAGTAGAGTTTTCAAGGGCACATGGCCATTTCAATATTTCATTCATATGCAAAGTCATTTTATTGCATTACCGGAAGCGGGAAGATATGCACCGGAAGCGGGAAGATATGCACCGAAGTGGGAGATATGGCGGGAGATATGGAGGTTCTGGATATGGAAACCTCAACATTAGGATACGGGATATATCTTACCAACTTATCTCCCTAAAACTGTACTTGGCATATGATAAATATAGGTTATTTACTGGGAGGGATTGAATATGGGTTTTATTCTGAGGGACAATATGATATTGACTGAAGGGTAATATAATATTGACCGAGAGCGCAGCGACCGAGTGTCAATTTTTACCATAATACATCCCTCTAGAATGTTACATTTGGATAATGCAAACGTTATATCAATAAATGCACATTGTTTGAAAAATAAAATAAATAAATAAAATAACCGGGAAACTAAAATAATAGGTCAATACGCTCCAATACGATTTTTTCACGGGGACAAACGATTTTTTCATGTAATACGCTCCAATACGATTTTTTCCCGGGGACAATACGATTTTTTCATGTAATACGATTCAATACGATTTTAATTCCTTCATATTTCCCTGGGAAAACAGTAGTATTATGGAATAAAATATATTTTCCCTCGGGACCTGCGGCCCTCGGACAGATATATTATTTTTGCCTCGGGGTAATCCCAATATCCTGAACCTCATATAGGATAATCTCTATATCTACCTGATGGACCATAGGGACCGAAGGTAGACGTGCATATCTCACGAGGGATAAACCCCATATCCAAACCGACTGCACATATCTGCTTTATCATATACCAAGTAGTTTTCTAAAAAATTAATCTTATTTCCTTTTTTGAATTTTTCAATTTTTTTATTTTTTTTCTCTACTCTACTTGTCAAAGGATAATAGACGATAAATTATATATAGTTTAACATGATATGTACTTCTTTCTGTAACTGGAATACGATTCTAATATACAAGCAACACATACGTATTCCCGGGGAACCATTCTTTTCATTTCTCTAAAATCAGATTATTTTCATAAAATCCATACAAAGTTGGGCCTAAGCCTCTATTTTTGTATTCTGCATGTTAAGATATTTATAATGTAAAACCTAAGAGATAAATTCAATGTCTTCAGTTGAGAATAAGTATAAGGTAAATGTGTGAATTCTGCTTGTTGTTGCACTATTTTTATAATAAACAAAGTTCGATACGCAACACTGAATAGACTGCAGTCATAGCTTAGTTGTAAAGAAAACAAAAGAAGTTGGGACGTGGTCATGCTTGATTATGTTTCTTTTATATATCACCGTTTGCATTCGTTGAAATCGGCCTGCATTGATTTCAAGAGGTGGTCGGTGTACAAGGTCATATGTTTGAGTTATTGGTTTAATGATAAATGTGACCCTTGAATGCGTTATGCTTTATGTATGCGTGAAACAAATACTCCAATGGCCTAATCTCAATTTGCCTTCAAACAATATAACATTGAAATGATTGTCACCTGCATATTAACTTCCGCACCACACGTCTAACTTCGACACAATTCAGTAAAGTATCCAGTATCGCTATAATCGCTACATGCCAGTGATATTTTAGAGTTCACTTTATATATATTCTTATTTTTATAGCAATTTTACTTGTTGTTTATAGTCAATCTTTGAAGATTATTTTATTTTATCTTACTGTCTACCAATGTGAATCAACTAAGTAATATATTTGCTTTTAATAATGATAAGTAGCAGTAACGTTTTCTGCCAATGACAACCAATAACACATACAAGGAAATAATAAGGTGACTTTGACATTCAGATGTCCTTAACCAATATAATAGGACAATAAATAGTCAAAGATCCAGGGTGTACAGAAATGTATTACAAATCTGACAGAATGTGAACTTTTCATCTTTACTCAAAACTCAAGATAACTTATTAAAGGAATATTCCTTGCCAAACCATCTCTCAACTCATATGGTAGCTATAACCATATATATGCTTGCTATGTTTAGCAAAACACACAAAAATGTTTTGATATGGTCAAATTTGATCACTTAGAAATGTGATGCTCAATTCCAGTAAGCTGCCATCTTTTAAAATTTCACACAGGAAGTGATGTCATCGACTCTCAACTTTGCATATAGCATTAGGTGAGGAGCTATTAAGAATTACAAAACCAGCTAAATATTCTTTTTCAACTTTGTATCTTATTTAATCCTTCTGAAAATCTCTTCTTTTATTCTAAGTTGACAAGCCCTGAAAATATTTTTGCACAGAAAGTAATGATTACTTGTCTAGAAGTGATTTTGTGCTACTTTCCTATACTGTTATGGGCAAGGTTATAGAAGTTGAGAGTTGATGACATCACTTCCTGCAAGAAATCTTAAAAGATGGCAGCTCACTGGAAATAAGCACTAGATTTTTAAATGATCAATATTGACCATATTAAAACATTTTCCCATGTTTTGCTAAATATGGAAACTATATATATGATTATAACTACCATATCAAGATAAAAAGGGTCTGGCAAGGAATATTCCTTTAATACATTGTGAATAAATGTGTCAATAAGGCTCTTGAGTATATGGTCATAATGCTCTTTTGATAGTTGTTTTGATCCAACAAACTAGTTACAACATGTCACTATTGTTATGATAGCCGAACAATTTCAAAAAGGCGTCTCTTAGGCCAATGCGTTGTTCCTAAGAAAAATACATACAAGAATGATAACAGACATTAGCCATGTCACCACCTGTCATTTGTTACATATGCTAAATGCCAACCACCAAATGACATACACTGTCAACAGAAAAGTTGGAGACAGTATGTCACCGCTTTTGGTGGTGACATAAAAGGGCCATAAAAACTCAAGATGAGGAAGTCCCTGGATGAATGCAATTTTTTCTAAGAATTAAATCATGACTCAAAAAGCGATAAACCCTGTAATGAAATGATGTCATAAAATTTATTAGAAACATGAATCACAGTGCAAATCAAAGACTTATTGAATTTCAAGATCCCATTGATTATACGCATGCTTTCAACAGTACACCCACTTTGCGAATTAAATAAATAAGAATAAGAATATTAACATGCAATATTTTAGTGTTTAATTCAGAAGTAGCAAATCTAGGATCAGGGGGTAATAATTTCATTGAATTTGTTTTGAATACCTCATATTTAAAAGTATTTCTCTATTAAAAGTATTTTTTGGAAACGCATGTCTGCCATACCTACTTACACAGTACAATGACATAATCTAAACTATTTTGCTGGAATGCGTCATCGTTAAGAAATGTCCTGAGACATGCTACTTTAAAAATGATTTTAAAATGTGACACTGATTACATCTTATCAGCTAATTGATATCATATATGATTTTAATGACCTTTTTGATAGCAATCAAATTTGAGCTGAATATATTGTATTTCTCTCTGGACTTTCTGTTCAAGTATCGTACCCTTCTTTTATAGAAATTCTTTACAAGTTCATGTTATTGCTCACTCATAATATTGCTAGATGTTAGAAAATAAATTCTGATTATGTGTTATTTCATAATATTGTTAAGTTATGTTACTGCAATAAAAAATAATATTTCAACAACAAACTTTTTTTGTTATAGAAAATATAAGACATGCACATTTATTTTTACGTTTTTTACAAAAATATATATTCTTACATATCTAGGCAAGATACAACACATATTCCAGGCAATCAGAACACACTATTTTAGATAATCGGAATTCTTTAAATTACAGCCAAGCATGTTTTTTTAGATTTGATGGAATTGATTATCATCATTTCATAATCTTAAGTTAGCGTTTGAGTTAAAGCTATAAAAGTATCATATGGAATAGCAAGACAGGTGCTCATGCAGGTCAAATGTTAAATGGATAGTGTTGACCTAGTTTTGACCATTTAATCTTTGAAACCCTTGCAAAAAAAGTTTCCTTGCAAAAAATATTCTTCCTGTGATGCTGTACAAAATCCTGTGTAGTGTGTGAAAAGAATTTAAGCACTTGACTTTATGAATTGTGTAATGATTGAATCAACACATGTTTGTATCATAATAGACTTGTGCTGTCGCCTTCATTCAAAGTCTGAAAACAAGACATTCGTTGTTAAATCTTTTATTCAATTTTGATATTAAAATGAAAAAAGGGGTGGACTCTTGCAATGGTCCACCCCGTACCGTTACCTTTCATCCAAAATAATAAAAATAAAACAAAGCTTGGAGCTGAAGGCAGAATCAAGGAATACCTTTAAGTTCAACATACTTTTTACAATTAAAATATTTTTTGTAATTAAGATAACTTTTGTAGTTATTAAGATAATTATAAAATAATGTTTTCTTGTATACTGTAAAACCTGCCTAAAGGCTACATAAGCCGGGTAAAACTTTTGGAAACACCTTGCACATGAAGGAGTTTGTTCTGGTGGTGTTGGCATTTTCACGAAAATCACCACCACCCAAATTCTGGGTTCTCGTGGTCAGACAGTTCAGGATTATATTTTTTGTTGTTAGGGTTTCAAGGTCTTTGTTTTTTGGGGCTGCTGTTGTTATACAGTCCTCTATGTGTTTATTGTTGATAGGATTGTTTGTTGTATCGATCATAATCGGCTCATCTGTAATTAATTGTACAATGGATAATTAATTAAAAACAGACAAAGGGTAACATTAAAATAAATATTAAGAATCTCTCAATTTTACTACATCTTTCAAAGTTTAAAGATGTTGATCTGCAGGTTTGTTTTCTCCAAAGTTCCTTCAAATAATTTGACACAGGACCACATGATTGATAAAAAGGAGAATAGGAATGTGAGATATGCACTTTTGGATAAATTATGTTAATTTCAGTCTAACATATAATTTTGTAATTGATTTAATGTTTAGCGAATAAATACAGAATAATAGACTTTCTTTATCTTAATATATAAAGTTAAAAAGTAATCACTTTACCTGTATGATGCCTTAGAGTGATTATTGTGACAAATACAGCAATAATTGTTGCAGAAATCAACACAGTTGCCACAAACAAAACAACCCTGAATGTTCCACAATGCAATTTTTCCGCGATGCGATCAATTTGGATTATTTTGTTGGCATACGCATATGAATATTCTCCCTCTTGTACTTCTGTGTCTTTTATTTCAGTGTATCGTATATGTTCAGGAATCTGGTAGCCATTTTCATCTATATCAACTCTTGTATGCGATAATAAATCCTGCTTGGGTGACTCCATATTGTTATTTTCATTGTTTTTATCGATCGGCATCGTGGCGTTGAAGAAATCAATTTTGTGAGAATCAAAAGGCTGTTTAGTGTTTTATTATCTAACATTCATCTAAACAGTAAATGTTTTGCAGTGACCTATGACTCTACCCTGCACTCGAGATAAAATATTTATGATTTAAAATGTGTAGTAGACAATTTATAGTCTTTATGTAATGTAAAATTGTATGTATTTTTAGGTCAATAGCTTGAAGTAATATATGGTGCTGAAGTTCAGCGCTCAAATTTTTAATCATTATTCCTATTTCAAGTAGATTGTGAAAAGAAACGAAAGATTAAAGCTAAATAAAAAATTATATTGAACACTTCTAAGCTCCATTATGACATTTTGAAAGCACGTCTTTCAATATGTTTAAATTGTACACAAAGTATATAGAATCAAAATGAAACTACTTCAATGTTCAAAGAAATGGCTCCTTGCCAATTCGAAAACTATTCCAACTGAAGTACTTATATAAGAATTTGTTGACTCTAATGCTGAGTGAGTGAAATCATGTATAATTGTTGTTATGATCTAATGGATACAGAAATCAAAATTTTCCCCAAAGATTTGTGGATTGATTTTGGGCCTAGTTTTTGTCTTACGATGTAATTTGACAGGAAATTATAAAAGAAGTTGTATTGTGTTTTGAACTTTATTCCTCTGGTTTAAGACTTTCTTTGTATTTTGAGCTTGTTCATTTTGAACTTCTTTTTTTGTTTAATCAAATGTCAGGTTGACCTGATTTATATATCATTACTACGGTACAAAATAAAATCAAACTTCGAATTCAACTTCAACAAAATAGTTTTTTTGTCCCACTGAATTTAATTTGTGAGGGATATAGAGAAAATGAAACTGAAATATGCTGTAATATTTCCATGTGATTGTGAATGTTCGTTAGATATGCAAATGTTTTCTGTACTTAATTTTAAGATCTCTACTTCAGAATAAGGCCTTTTTTAGTGACCATCAGAAGTGATGACATATTGTTATAGTCTCCAACTTTTTTGTGCATGGTGCTTGGTTTTCAGCACTTGGTGTCCGGCATTTGGCAATCAGTGTTCGGTGTCTGTAAGAAATGGCAGGTGATGACATTTTGCATGTTGATGCCATGTTTATAATATATATGACATCATATATCAAATATGATCAGGTAGCAGAATAAGAAACACCAAAGTGAATGATAAAATCAGTATTTTTATCTTCAGGATACCTGTTACAATCTTAGATTAAGGAATAAAAAAACTAATTCCTTTTATTGAATTTCTGTTTCAATTTTCATGAACCAATTTAAAAGATAATCATTTTGCATATACAGGGTGGGCCAAAAAAAACGTCCATATTTTTGTTTTGCTACAACATTTTTAATAGTACAGACAAATGTTTAAACCATATATCATTGGAAAGACAATTCAATTTCCAACAAAATGATATATAATTTATTTCACATAAATAAATATTTGTTTTAAAACAATGTTTCAATTACCACAGGGGTCAAAATCATGATTTACCGATTGCTGAAGACAGAATGCTAAAAACTGGCCAGACAGATATATGGCAGCTTTGGGGATATAAGTCTAATTATAGAAGGTCAAAATTGTTGATATATGTATCAAATGAAAGCAAATTGATTTACAACTACAATATTATTGAGTTCTTTTACCATTTTGATAGGTATTGGTAATATTATAGGCCTAGTCTAAATAATGCGGAGAAATCTGCATCAAATAGCTGAATATTTACTCATTTCAAGACATTTTGGATTTTTCACTTTGTTTGAAATTAAATTATCTTTCAAATGATATATAATTTATTTATATTTCTCACATACCAGCAAAGATATTACAAAAAATAAAAATATGGACTTTTTATTGGCCCACCCTGTAGATATCAATATTTTATTTTAAGATAGCTCCCTCTAAAACTTATGGTTTAATAGAAGAGCTTATGTATTAAATGCTATTTCCTTGTATATTTCCAGCACCCCTGGATGGCAACGGTCAACCCCAAACATCTGCAACTAGATGCTGTGTTGCATTTTGGGAGTGTTGAGATTCGCAGGGAAGACTTCAAGGTTGAACCTGATCTTAACAATGACAACACTGTGAAATATGGCGGTCGGGAATTCACCATAACATTCCCACCAGAGGAAGGATTTGTGTACAATGATATCAACCCATCAAACTATGATCTGGAATTTGAAATGGGAGGTTACCCATACATCATATTTCAGCTACTATATAAAAGTGAGTGAAATTATGCCACTTTCTATAATTTACTCAGATAATATTGAAGAACTTCTTAGAATTTGATCCATATGATGTGCAGGGTATAGTTCAAAACAAAGAATGTCAAAGAAGGCAGAGGTTTCTTTCATAGTAGATGTTTGTAATTTTTATTTTTAGTATCAATTAGAAAATAAGGATTTGAGAATTCTCCATCAAAACCATAATATTTTGATTGTAAGATAATTTTTTTTCATTTTACACACACTTATTATTCCCTTTAGTGTTAAACTTCTTGGTTTCACATTTAGTTGAGCAATTACATTATACATTCTCATATCCTCAACCTATAGACTAGATGCGAGGAAAAATAATTTTGATTTACGTCATTAAAAATTCAGTCAATCTGATGTCATATTTGGAATATAGATGTGAAATTACATCTAGAAATGTGGCTATGAAAAGAGTTTATTAACTTTGAACATTTTATTTTCTTTGAAAATCTGACTTCTAGGTCGGGGAGATTCCCCATAGACCCCATATTGTAAAATCAGAAAAAGTGAAATATCTTTTCTTGTATTGGGCAGATAATATTTAGAGGTTATGTCACTATCGTGGCATATATGCCCGAGGTCTCAGTGATAGATCTCTGAGAACGATTTATAACATACCTATGATGATGTAGACTGGTCAGAGAGTACCGTTTTCTTATAGAATTGACAAACAAATGGTCTGAAAATGATTGAAATGAGTTTAGAAAAATTGCTCGCGCAGTTTTATCTTCGATTGATTTGTTATGACGTCAGCGCCTTGACCAATCAGAAAGTTAGCGGGCGTGGGCTTTTCAAAACTTATATTGGCCCGCTGTCTTGTGTACACTTTGCACTATACATCATCATAGGTATGTTATAATTTCTTTTATTGGACATATTATCCGATACATAAGGGTAATATGACAAGTGAACCACTAAAACTGATGAATATTCAAGTTTAAGGGAATTTTGTAATACCCTGCCATGTTATTTCCCCCGAATCAGCCACCTAGTGGCGAAACTGGTAACTACCTACTCGCATCTGAGTTATTGAGGATGTCACAGAAACATATCTGTGAATTCTTGTTTTCCCCCAATACAGTCCGAGCTCAGCTGAATAATGTAATAGAGTGTCAATTATTCTGAGTAAATAAATGAATCAAGTAAAAATGTTATTTTCTTTTACTGGTATACTTCTTGATTTCACTTTTAGTTGGATAATCGCATGATAAGCTCTCAAGTTTCAGTCAATGCAGGTGCCTCAGATATATATCCTTGAATTGTTGTACATCATTATAATGAATAAATAAAAATTGTTATTTCTAACAGGTGCAGATTTGAGAACAGCCATAGGTTGGTCCAGGGTGCCATTATATAGATGGGAGTCTGACTGGAAGATGCAGCTTGGGCAATACTCTTATAGTGTGTTAGCAGGAGACTTGCCAGGCTCTAGCTCTACACAACCCACAGGTACATTGTACTGATATTGTACAAAGAAATTGAGTGGTCATGTCCACCTTATGTGGGAGGTGTTTAGTATTATTTTAGAGATTCTGTTCAGTTTTGAATGGAATGAAGTTCAGATATTTTTGATAAAAAGGAACGCACCAAACATGACAAAATACCAACATCAGGATACTGTATTTGTTAAAACTGTTTACAAAAGTTTAATAACAATTTTCTCCAGACAATAATGATCACTGATCATTGAATGGTGGTAATGAAAGATGATGCCACTAACAATATTCCACTACTACTTGATGGTGACTTGAAAGCACAAAAATTAAAAACTGAATTCTTGTTCATGAAAAATCAACATTGATGTTTACAGCACAATTGAATGCTTAGTGGTACGAAATAAAGAATATGTATACAAGGGAGCATAAAATGTCAAAACCATATTTATTTTTATGTGACCAACATAAATGGTATTGTTATAGTCTTCAACTATTTTGTGGATGTTGTTTCATGGTTGGTGATTGACATTCTGCGATTAGTGTTTGGTCTTTGGCATCTATAACAAATGGTAGGTGGTGATATTTTGCATGTTGATGCCTTGTTTGTATTTTTATATATCTTTTTGTCATATTACAGATCTTATTGGTCCAGACTGTGAACTAAGTGTGTTGGTTTATGACCCCAAAAGAGGTACACCAACTCCCAGAAACAATGAACCTACCTCTCCTCGTGTAGCCAATCAAACACCAGCCAACAAAACACGAGTCCATAAAACACCAGTGAAACCAGCCATTATTACACCAAGCAAGCAATCACCAGCCCAGGGTAAAGTGAGGTGAGATGTAGAGGGTATTAAGAAATTGGACCACCAAAAAGTCAATTAATTTGACAATGCTATTTTACGCATATGACCTTGATCACTTTCGTCATACTTACTTTTTCATTTCCAGAACTCCAAGTCCCTTTGATGGAGAAGTCCATGATACCTTTGTCAATCATGCTCGTAGGGTAGGAGCTGAAGTAAACCCTCCCCCGAGCACATTTGAACAGGGCTTTGATCTCTATATAGATGATGTACACTTCATACCTGACAACGCTACAATTATAAAGGTAAAAAAGTCATTGATGTTGTAAAGGAATATCTATCTTTTGTTCAAATGCTCACTTTTTATTCAAAAAATGTAGAAATTAAAAAGAAATTATGTACAATTAAAGATGTTTGATATTGATTTCCTTATCTAATAACTCATGTAATCGCTGCCTTGATTAATATTTTCTAATGCTTTATTTTTCAGGCATATGAGATAAATGAAGAATTGTATATATCAACAAATCCTCACTTTAAACCTCATGGAATTTCCAAATGCATATATACACTCTACTATACCGTGCATTTTCTGTTCATGAGCAACCAATTTGACTTATTAGTAATGATTGTGTTATTTGTTTTTATTTGTCAGTTCCTTATTAATGGTTTATCGGATGACGTTAGATGTTACTAAGGTACTGTACTTTCAAAAATATATTAAACAACTCAATTAGACAAATAGAGTATCTTATGCATTTCTAGGGGTAAGGTATAGTAGAGTGATATACATGTAGGCCTTTGTATCCCATAAGTCCATTTGCACCATGGTTTACAATTATATCTCTCTTTACAGGTCACAGGGAGATTCCTGAGGACAGGGGAGGTATCAGGTATCCCAGACATCTCAGCTTACCCACAGTTAAAGAGTCTGGTAAGGTCACCCAGGTTCAATTACAGAATGGGGGTAAATGAGGATGATAAACAGATGGAAGCTGGGACATTATTAGTGCTTCGTGTCTACACTTTGGATAGAGAAGATGGAGACCTGGTTGTCATAGGAACTTGCTTAGTTGAAGTATTCACAAAAAAGGTAAGGAACAGTTCTTACTAAATCAAAGTGGATATTTCTCGTGTTAAATTTTAAGAAAACTTTAAAATACACATTTATTACTGCTGGTGACTTAAGTGTTCACTTATGTTTTTATGAAATTGACTGAGTGATGGAGTAGGATTATTCCTTTGGAATTTAATCTTTTTCCATAATTTTTCCATAATTCCTTTGGAATTTAATATTTTTCCATAATTTTTCCATAATTCCTTTTAATATTTTTCCATAACTCATAACCTTTACAATACACCCTTTTGTTAGTTTGCAAGAAGGCAACATATAATTAATGTTACTGTTTGAAATGAACACATTGGTTTTTAGGGTGATTTACGTGTGGGCGGTCACCAGGTGGCGCTGCGACATGGCATGCCAAGTGACAAGGGTGGTGTTGCTGCTCTGAATGGACGCTCTATGGACAATAGTCCAAAGATCCCTGGCTGTTCAATACTATTCAGACTTCTGCCTCATTCACAGGTAACATGATTTAATGGTAAAGGATTTAAGCCCTAGACTCAGTGAAATGTGGAATGATCATTCCCTTGAAGGTGTTGCTTTTCAAAAGGTGCACGAGATGCGAAGCATCGGGTGTTAATTTAACAAACAATGCCTGAATGGAATATTGTCATTACACAATGCACTGAGTCGAGGGTTTAAATTATTTTCACACATTGCAAAATATTTTCTACAATGTCACTTAAAAGATACGAAATCACTAGAAGAAAATATTTTCAATGAAACTTTTTGCAAGGGTCAAGTTGTCAAAGCATCAATTTCAATCTGAGTTTAACTTGTCACTTTGACAAATACACAACAAATGCATTACTGGTTATAACGGAATGCAGTTACGTGAAATAGCATGTTCTGATTCGCTGGAATTGGTCACACATTGCCTAGCTATGTTTGAATATACAATTATTTGAAAGGGATCCAAAACTGTTGATCAAAACTTAGTGAACTGAATAACCAATATCTCCCCCAAACCATGAATGACTGTTCATATTAAGAAACATAACATAAATAACCATAAAATAAGGTAAACTTTTTGAGTAAAAATAATTTTTTGATTGAACGCATCTCAGACATTAACATTTAGCCACAGATAATGACTCCTTATATGGATGTTTCAGACACCAGCCCCTCAGCCTTCATACAACGGTGGCTATTACAACAGTAACAAGGCTATACCCAACAATTCAGAGTTAATTGTAATGGAGGGGATTAAGAAACAGTTAGAGTACAAAGTCTCTGTACAAGACATGGCAAGGGAGCTGATGGCCATAGAAACTGAAGAGGATCCAGAAACTATCAGTATGTTAACAATTCTGTTCACAATTTTCACCAGATCAAAATTTACTAAAATTTGTTAATTCATGTTAAATGATGACATCATGACTCAATGAGAGATGATGCTATCCACCATCCTGCAGCTCTCTGCTTCAAATTTTCGCAATGCAGTGCGTGTTAATGTTTGAATCAAAAAAATCATCCATGTAAATGGCAATGTTGATTATGAACTTGGATCTGAACTTATATTGGGATGAGATTTTAATTAAGCTTATTGAATTCACTAAGCCATATTGTATGCTAAATTAAAAACAAGTAATTTTGAACAAATAGTCCAAATGCATAAATTCCCATCTCCATTACATAAATGTTTAACCTCAACATTTTAAGCGTCAGTGATCTCATGGAATGGTAAAAACAAAGACTGGATGCTAGTGTACAACTGCCCTTTTGCATACATGTATAACCTCAACATTTTAAGCGACAGTGATCTCATGGAATGGTACAAACAAAGACTGGATGCTAGTGTACAACTGCCCTTTTGCATATATGTATATCCTCAACATTTTAGGCGACAGTGATCTCATGGAATGGTACAAACAAAGACTGGATGCTAGTGTACAACTGCCCTTTTGCATACATGTATAAACTCAACATTTTAGGCGACAGTGATCTCATGGAATGGTACAAACAAAGACTGGATGCTAGTGTACAACTGCCCTTTTGCATACATGTATAAACTCAACATTTTAGGCGACAGTGATCTCATGGAATGGTACAAACAAAGATTAGATGCTAGTGTACAACTGCCCTCTGGGCAAGCAGCAGGGAACCTCACCATACAGAAGATGGTGACTTATGACCAGTCAGTTGGGGCATGTATTGAGATCAGAAAGGGAACTGGATTCTCAGGTATAACAAAAAAAAACATGATTTTAAATGTCCGATCTCCAAATTGAAGATGATATTAAAAGTGCAATATTTAGCAAGGGGTGCTCACAGACATACTACCAATTTTTAAACGATCAGACATGACAGAAGGCAGTACACATTTAACATTTAAAGAAGTGTTGCTCACTATTTAAGTCATTAAGTAACCTACAGTAGTATATAGTATTTCATTGACATACCACCTCTCTGATGCACTTTGCAATATTCAATAAAGAAAATCAATGCCCAACTTTATACAAATCATCCCCACTAGGCACAGGTTTAGTTTTTCCACCATGTTTAAAAATGTGTGGAACCCTCAAAATGATTGGAAAAGAGCAATCTTTCTTACTAATACTACTGTATTGAAATACTATTCTTCATCTTTTCCTCTCCAGTGTTATTTACCTGCAAGTGCCTGATATGTTTTTCTCTTTCATTGGGTTAAATTCATTAATCACACCATATAACTTCATATATAACATGTATAATCCATATGTAAACTACATATTTCAGTTTCTGAGCCTATCACCTGTTTAGCCAAGATTCTTGAAGGAGATGGCGCCACTAGTTCTGACATCACCTGGATAACGCAGGGTCTTGATCCATCGTCAACCAACAAAGATCCAATATGGACTGGACCATTAATGACCATAACACCAGAGTACAACCAATTTACTGTGGTTGCCGTGAAAGTGAAATCTGGGAACAAACAAATTGGTTGGACGGCTTTTCCGTTATTTGACGGTACTGCCATATTTGGAGGAGAAATAGTAACACAGGTGTTCAGTGGAAAAAAAATACCAAGTAAGGTCATTGACAGTCTAAAGACTATGCCAGCCAATGAGGTTTTAACGAGTAAAATTAATAAAAGTGGTAAACTGGGTAATGCGAAACTGTCAGTGGCATTATGGGATGGACACTTTACGGAGGAGGATCTTCCCATCAACCCCCTTCCACTTATAGAGTGGTGACATCTATAGACAGTTGGAGGATACTGAGTGCCAAATTGTTCACACGAATGAACAGATGTGTGACAGATTGAAGTAATATTAATGACTCATGTAGATGGCAGATCACTACTTGTCAACTGTTGGCAGTATTCAAAACCTGTCTCATGGGTTTGTGTGTAAATCATGCAAAATCAAAAGTTCAATTGCGCTTTATATCAATTTGTCTTCTTATAATTCTTTACTGACATGTTGAGCAATTAAAGTCAAGTCTGTCCACCCAAGTGGGGATTGAAACATGTGACCTTTGATGACTTTTAGTTAGTTAGTCATTAAACAGTATAACATTAACTGTTCAGGTAGTTCATAATTGTAAATATTGTACATCACAATGTATATTTATTTGTACAGAAGTTCACCATAATTTTGTTTTCCGACATCAACTTTTGACATGTAGATAGTAACACCATCTCTTTGACAAGGATGTATCTTACTGATACAATTAATTGAATTAATTGAATAGAAACTTGATACCTATTGTAGAGATTAATAGTGGGTATTTAATAAAGTATACATGATGAACCATACGATGTTTGATTTTTTGTCACGGTTCTAGTCAAGCGCAATTGGTTTATTATGTCACTACCTGAAGTGGTGACATATTATGTCGCTACCTGAAGTGGTGACATATTATGTCACTACTTGAAATGGTGACATATTATGTCACTACCTAAAGTGGTGACATATTGTTATAGTCTCACACTTTTTTGTGGACGGTGTTCGGCATTCAGTGGTTGGTGTTCGGTGTCTGTAACAAATGGCAGGTAGTGGCATTTTGCATGTTAATGCCTTGTGTGGAGTTGACTTCCAATCAACATATCAACTTAACAGTATCCAGTATTTGTTATTTTCCCGCTGGGAATAAGAGAATAAGATTTCAATCTGTCTGTGTGCTTATTTTTAACCGAAGGTGTAGGTAAAAATAACATCTGGTATTGTGGATTCAGTGTGTAATTTCTGACAATGGAGTCATTTATATTTTTTAGATCCATCTTTCATCTCTGAGGAAAGTATATACAATCATAATTTGTCCTTTGTTACATTTGAATGACAATTAACTAATCACAATATACTTTTCCATGTCGTTGATATCATTTTCACCAAAAGGCAATATTTTTAGAATGTTAAATGCATGACGATAATTTATTTTAATGTATCAACTGAATCCATCTGATATTACAGTGTCAAAATATAGGGAGAGAAAATATTCTAGCATAGTAAGATTATTCAATATACAGTTAGCAAGTGTAACACAGGCCTTGAGTTTATTGATTTTCTCCCTATATCATGACATGTATAATCTGATATCAGTGATTCCCATGTTTTTTCGTAATAGAGATATATCTTGGGCTATCCACTGCTCCATGGATAACACCTGGTAAATTGAGCAACGTGCCCCTTATATCATCAGGCGTCTGTGTTATTAATAAGACATCTACATCCAAGCTCGCAGCCAGGATGTTTTTCAAACCCCTAGCAAAAAAAATATTTCAAAATCACGCACTTTTTCACAATTCTGAGCATTTTCAAGTGGTTTTTGGTCAAATGAAATGACGCTGGGGTAAAGCAATCGATCAGTGAGCATTCCGTCAGTGTTCTTCTTTGTACTGTTTTTATTCTGTTTTTGGTTTTAGTCTCAAACAGCACAATAGTAGAGAGGTTAAGCTTCCGTATTAAACTGAAACGAAAACCTGTACGTATCAATCGCCTATATTCAAATGCATGTAGCGTTCTCATGAAATAGCCGTTGAGCTCCAGTGTTTGTTTAGACTACACCAGTAGCGTATAATGATTCTATAGTATGCCATTGATGAAGTACTATAGCTGGTTTTCTAATATATATTTTAAACGAGCTCGTTTCGTAAGAAAGGATGGGTATCGATATGGCGAACATTTTGAACACACGTTTCTCTTAAACCAGTCATCAAAAATTTCTGAAAATTTTGCACATTGTCAATTTAATGGTCATCTTAGATATATATACTTTAGAAAACACATCGGACACTTCTTTTGTGCTCGGTATCATATCATGTTCGGAATGAAATGAAACATCTATCCGAACCTCATTTGAACAAAATGACATAAACACAACGTGTTTATGTCTCTCAATATTGTAATTATACAAAGGAAAGTTTGGTTGATTTAAAAATGTATCTTGTTAATGAAATTAAAGGTTTATCTTAGTTTGTTTTTTTTATCTATTTCGGGGGTTTTTGTTTTAATTTTTTGAATACTTTTTGTTAAATCAACCAAAATTTCCTTTGTATAACTATAATATTGAGAAGTCTAAGAAAATGTTGTATATGCTATTTTTTCCAACAAGCTTCGGAAAGATATTTTATTTCATTCTCAAAAATTGGTAAAAAGGAACAAAAACTAATTGCACTGAAAAACAAAAACACACTATATATTTGATTTTCGCATAAATTGTTTTCAATCAGTCAAAATTACATAAAGAACCGTGTTTTTTACAAAATGTTTTCAATAATTGGTTTAGGAGAAATACAATGTTGAATTCAGTTCACCATATCGATACCAATCCTTTTCACTGCCTGAGACATTACTGATGAAAATATCTTTCATACCATACAATATGTATCCTTCAGATGGTCTCAACACAATTTCGATTAATTAAAATATTCTATATTGGCACTCGACTTCGTCTCGTTCCAATACAGAATTTCTCGAGCAGAATATATCGCAGTTCAAATCATTCAATAACGTATAGTATTGTGTATAAATGCTGTAGTATTAGACTATGTACCTTCATTTCAATGTAAAATTGGCAATCTCCCTACAGTATAAAACTATAAAACATAAACGGGAATGTACTGTCCTCATAGATGTCTGATGCACCAGATTGAAATGCAACTCTTTGAGAAATATGGACACGTCGAGTTCACATTCACCTCTAGCCAAAAAACCAGCTTCATGAACTACATGAATTTCGTTAAAATAAGCATATCCAGTCCCGGGTATCCAGTATAAAATATATTGCTAAAACTCAGTACCTGCGCCGCCCATCGAGACAATCACACAGTCATATTCGATGATTAACGCGCATTACACAACTAATTGACCTACTTTTTTTAGAAGTTGTATAATTATTTACTTTTTGATATATGATATGTAAGAATCAAGGCGATAGGGTGGAATAGGGTCAAAATTGTGATAGTCGGAAGTTTATGCCAATAAGACAATGAGAAAGAAATTGTGACTTATCTTCACCGATTTAGGAATTGTGATATTTTCGTTCGTCGTTCCATTTTTGCATACAAGAACCCTGATAGTCAGGCTTTTTGGAATAATTTGCACAAGATACCAATTTAACAGTTATTTCTATAATAAAAAATTACAATGTTGTCCCAATTTTATTCTTAATATAAAGAACAATATCTTGTCTACCAATACCAATGATAAGTGCAATTTCAAAAGCTTTTTTCGACTAACGCGTCACATTTTTTGCTAATTGTAATGACATTTGGTTCATACAGGTATTTGGTTTCTTTATATAATATATGTGAGTGTCCCATTTTTATTCACCCACCCTGTATAATATCCTTTTAACATCATGCACCCTAGGGTATAATTTTTAATAAAAAGTGTTTTGAATAATTCATCCGTTTTAGTCTAGCTACAAGACCTTGTGAGGCCCCTTCTTCACTAGACATCTCCTCACCCCCCCCCCCCTGTGGGAGAAGATGGGTAGTTTGAGGAGAGCGGGGGGGGGGTCGCAAGGACTTGTAGCTAGACTACTCCTTTTAACCTGTACAATTCAAATTTTGATATTTCGTATTCACTGCATTTCAAATTGTTTCAATACCTTCGTATGGAATTTTTTCTGCATCTTTATTCGATTTTCACACTTTTGTATTTGATTACAACCATTCGATATTCCACTCTATTAAAATGATTCGAAACACGTAATAAATTTGTTTGTTTTCACACATTTATATTTGCTTTATGTACCTATATATGCGGTAAATGCACTTGTATATGCGGTTTATGTTATTCAGTGTTTGGTAAAATATCACATATTTAAGTCCATGTACACACACGGACAAAGACGGTTGACACATATATTTAGAACACGCATCAAATACAAATACACTTTAGAACCAAACAATGTTCATTTACCGAACAATCATAGAGTACAAAATAGCACGGACATATAGTGACTTACCCCACATAATTAATGACATGTACTATCGCATAAAATCATGTGGGGTAAGTCACGTGACTTACCCCACATAAATGACACATGCTGCATGTAGCATAAAACCATTCGGTAAATCACGTGACCAGTGACGTAGAAATTATTTCAAAATGGATGAAACAAGGGAGGAAAAAGAATTTGAACAAAATTCATATTCACAATTTAGAGAAGGAATTGAGAAGTTATAAGATCATTGCAACAGGCATGAGGCCTAAACTGATCCTTTGTTCTTAATAGAAGATATGTACGTTTTCGTGATTGGAGAATCACACAGAACTCTTTGAATATATAGATGGCGCAAGTCACATGGTCGAAGTCACGTGACTTACCCCACATCAAAACAGTGAACAATGGTTTATATAAAATCATTCGGTAAGTCACGTGACTTACCCCACAAATGAATATGTTTAGCACAAATGAATATGTTTACCCAATACGAATGGTACTTGGCATTGCACATATTTAACATACTTATCAAATTTATATTTGATCGGGTCGAATACCCCTTCTTACATACTTGTTGTGTAAAACAGTCAATTATATGTGGGATAGTAGGTACCATTTGTTGTAACTGGTTTTGTTTATGTTCGGTTTAACTTACTCTGTGGGGTAAAAACCGAAGATATTAATGTTACGAATATTGATGCAATAAATACACTATACCTTCGCAGCTGATAAAAATGCGGCTATGTCATCTTGCTTGCATAAAGTGAATTGCAGATATTACTTGTATCAGAGTCTCAGTATAAATGATATGTGGTTAAGTACCATTTATAATTTTCCATCGTATCGCTAAGGAGGCAAGACTATAGATTACATTTTCTTTCTAAAATAATTTCACACTTTTTGTGCTTTATAGAGGGCACTTTATACTCGTGAAAATAATGATGTCGTTTTTTAATTTTAACTCCATGCTAAAATGGTACTATGATGCTAATAGCCTAGGGACAATAATTTGACTAGTTTTTAGTTTAGACTATATGATATATATTATTACTTTTGAGAATAACATTGATATATTGAAGTTAAAAAGACACTGAATAAGCTATGATAATGGGCACAACCAACTTATATCGACAGGTACAAACACTGTTTTGTCTTTTGTGTTTTGTTATTTCTGTCTTAATTATATACTTCATTAATATTCATTGCAGCAAAACAGAACATGTCATTTATGAACAAGCTAACTTGTTGAATCACAATAGACCATCAACACGACTAAGGAATGACGAAAAGAATCAGCACCATCCATTGTTAAACCAGGAGTTGTTATCTGCGTTAACTCAAGGCTATTGGAAGCCGAAATACGTGACAGAAGAAGAAAACGACAGGGTGACTTCCCAGCTAAAACGATTACGAGAGAGAAAGAAAATAGAATACAGTAACAATACGATATGTGGACATGCACATCGGGGCTACAGATCGGTGTGTAACCCAGGGGATAAAAATGCCTGTTGCAAAGAAAGTCGATGTCGAGATATTTCCGTAGAAGGCTGCGTATGTCCAACATGTTTTGACGAAAGGTCAAGGATCTATCCCGAATTTCATGAGTGGACCCCATATGGTATTAACATACGCCGTAATGTATCACGTGATGTTATGTGCACCGGGCTTAGGAATTTAAATGTGTCATCGATAATTACAATCGGCGATTCTTTGATACGACAAATAACGGTTCGTTTCTGGAGGCGCGTTTACAAAGGACCAGTGATACATTTACTTCATGACTATTCCCCCCAAGGTACGTATGCTGGCTATTGGCTAACTTGGCCCCTTTTAATATCTGAATACCTTTTTTGGTTATCGATGGTGACCGCATGTCGTCATGCGCAAACGTTCCCATATGCGCACCTTTACAAGAATTTATCAAAAAAAGTTGAAAATGTTGTCAATTAACACTTTTTAGCATATTGTTCCCGCTGATTCTGTGAAAAAGAACTTGAAATACCTCAATTCAGTTAAATTCCAGAGCACAAGTTCGGAAATCATCCATAGCAAGTCGGAAAATAGTCAAAGACTATATTTGGACAACGGTGGTTCATCTGTAGCATATTGTTGCGAGGGTTGATTTCAGATTAAAGTACATTAATTGTGTAAAAAATCAGATCTACGGATGATTCTTTGTTTCAGAATTAATCCAGAAGTGTCAGCCTAATGCGACCAATTGGGGGTCCTACAAATGTTGGGAAAGGAGCTTCGTGAACATCTGCGATGGAATTAAATTCTTCTACCATAAGATATACGGCGTTACATGTAGGTCGTTCACTAGTATCACATTTGAACTAGGCTAGACTTCATAAATCAAGAATATTTAACCTGTAATGGCTTGGGGCCTTCTAGTGATAAATTAAACATATTGTTTTTTTCATTGTCAAGATCAACCAAAGGTGTTTGACGATTTGCGAACATTGAAGAAGGAACATCCAGGGCGAATGCTAGTGTTGACAGACGTTGGACTTCACGACAACTTTAGTATACTAAATGTATCTATCTACCTTAAACAACTATTCGAGGTGGTGAAATCTTTGGGTGAAACCGACCTACTGTACATGGCACCATATATCCCAGGATTACAAAAATCCCCGTCGTATAAGAAGCAAACTTTGAAAAGGACGATCAAATTTATCAAGTTCTTTCGTACATTTACTCAAGATAGAAACATTTCTTTTCTTGATCCAACTGAATTGGTAAAGAATCTTATTAGTTCGGATGGTACTCATTATACAAGGGGGCTAAATGAAGCAATGGTCGACATTATAGGAAACTATATCCTAAAAGACATTTAACAATTTTGGAGTCTTACATCGGAGTCTCAAGGCTCAGTCATATTTGCTGTACGGCGGCCGTAGCTTCACAAAATCGATATCGAAAATCTACATCGTACTGGTTATACTATATTTTATGTTGCATATTTTTCTCGATTTTGGGAAGCTACGGCCACCGTACGGTTGCCCTAGATAAAAATTTTACTGGGGCATTACAGTTAATTTGATCACAAGCATTACTACTGCGAAATATAACAAAGTTATATACTAGTTTTTTTCGTCTGACTTAATTTTTTGAGATATCCGAAATATTTGTTTCATCTCGCGTCATACGAATGTAATTTTAGGCAATCTGTCTGCATGGGGTGATATTAGAGAACATTGAAAAATGATCTAAGGAATGAGAAAGTTAATATGTGTGAAAACAAGATAGGAAAAGGTGATTTAAAGCAGATTTAATATTTTTTTAAAACATTGATGTTTTCTCAGATATCGATGCATCTCCAGAATCACTTTTGGTGATATCGCAAATGTATCGAATAATCACGACAACACTCTTCAGTCAATGTTAACAATGATGTAAAAAATTGCGTACAACCACGAGCTTTCTATTGAATGCCCATGATTAGATACAGAATAGACTAGAAGATACAAAGGTTTTGCTCACATTTTGAAAGACAACACCTATTTACAATCTGACATTTCAGTTCTAAAAACTGCACTTTGATTTCGCAAATATTAAAAATGTTTGCCATGCTTACCGTCCAAAGTATCCATTTTTTGGCTACATGTTTACTTTAGTGACTTATTTTATAGCTTTCCACAAGCTGCTTTATCGAAAGTTTCTGCCATAGACACATCTTCAAGAAAGTTACACTGTGCACATAAATGAATAAATCATTATATTAGGAGGTATTTCTTTGGATTGTACATGTGACTGTATTCACATTGAACCTTACCTTAAAAGGGCTTCAGTTGGTAAATAATAAACAAGAATGATGGAAATATTAGAGATCTCCATAAAACTGTTTCTCATGAAATACATCACTGTGTATGTTTAAGAAGTGCTTTATGTTGTTAATGTTGTAATACGTCACCACAACTTTTTTGTCATGTCACCATAACATTGTTGTAATGTCACCACAACTTTGTTGTGATGTCACTACAATTTTGTTGTGAATGACATTCTGCAGGTGGCACTCGGCTTATTGACCAATTCAAAATTATCTACAAGTTCTCAGAAGTTCAAATCTGTTACTCTAAAATAACAAAATGACAAAATACCTATTAAGGTCTGAAAAGGTGTATTTTCAAGGTTATGAGTTTACACTTTTCTGGTAATATCTGTACCATGGCAATATATTTAATTATTTTGATTTGACCTTCAAAAGGTCAAAAGAGTTGATTTTTCAAATTGATTTTAAGTCAGCGTTATCACAAAATATCTACGTAGGTCTGAAAGAGTAACATTTTCAAGGTCAAAGGTCAAGTTTTATCAAACTAGATCACAAACAGTGTTCGGCAACATTGAAGGTTAAGAGGATTGACCAAAACTTTTTCAAAATCATCTACCAGTTCTTAGAAGTTTAAATCTGTCTTTAGATTTGACCTCGAAAAGGTGGTGACATTTTGTCATGTTATTGCATTCTTATTCCATGTCAGGACTAGTGTCTAAATGTGTCAGTTCTTTTAGACTACTTTACATTTTCTCTAATAGCACTCAATTTGGCAAACAACATATAACTTCTGATCAAAAAGGGCTTAATTGTTACATGCATCACCAAATGTTTATCATAAAAAAAGAAATACTTTGTATCATCTTGTACTTCTATAGTGACCAAAAGGAACTTATACCATGCATTTCACGTACACAAACAGTGATTAATATGAGCTCGAGAAAACAGATCTCATAATAAACAAAGACTAAAATAACACATAACTCAGGGGCGAATCAAAAAGGGCTTGCATCACCAAATGTTTATAAGAAAAAAGAAATACTTTGAATCGTCTTGTACTTCTATAGTGACCAAAAGGAACTTATACCATGCATCTCACGTACACAAACAGTGATTAATATGAGCTCGAGAAAACAGATCTCATAATAAACAAAGACTAAAATAACACATAACTCAGGGGCGAATCAAAAAGGGCTTGCATCACCAAATGTTTATAAGAAAAAAGAAATACTTTGAATCGTCTTGTACTTCTAATGTGACCAAAAGGAACTTAAACCATGCATCTCACGTACACAAACAGTGATAAATATGAGCTCAAGAAAACAGATCTTATAATACACAAAGAGTGATTAATGGGAGGCCTGTGGTTAGCAATATAAAGATCACAAATATACTTCAAATTAAAATTTTTAAAATGGGTCTATAACAAATCTCAATGTTCAAAACACAACCTGTTCTGTTCTTTGTAACATATAAACTCTGAAGAAGCTACTGAGCCCCTGAACATCCCAAACTCATGTTCATAATCAAAAGTGAGTGAATATGGTCTTATAAATGATAAAGGAATTTTTCAGATAAGCCTTAATTCAGCTGTTTCCTCTTGTTGATCCTATATCAGTTTAATTGAAAATAAGATCGTCTTAATGACTATATTTTGCATTCAAAATGATTAGAAATAATTGTTCCATTCAATTCGCTTTCTTTTAGCATCATTTTGTTTTGCTATATTTAAATGATAAAACATATATTAAAACATACGTTTCCACCTGTTAAGCACCTGTCAACATTACCGTTTGAAGTTTACAACTGATGATCTACTAATGAATTAGTTGCTTGAACGTTAATTAGCATGATATATCTATTTTATTTGTAAAATTATAAATGAGACCATCTGTCCGTCTGTATTTTTTTATTCAAATTTTTAAATATAAATGCTATAAATACTAATCAGCTCTTGATTCATACTTAAAACTATCCCTGAAAATTTTTAATTGATTCGTCAGTTCACCTGAAAACGCGTTGACAAGACTTTACTGACAAGATTTTACAAAACATGGCACGGTGCCATGGCATACCCGTGACATGGGATCTATATATGGCACTATTATGAGTCAAATTGTTGCAGATTTATATGGCTCATGCGAGTACAAGTTTGCTCAAAAGACCCAAATGGCCACAAGTTTCAAAATGGTCGCCATTTTATTGTTAATTTTACTGTATTTTAGGCACAACATAGCCTATGCCATAAGGTATACAATGACACCGTGCCATGGCACCATGCCGTGTTTTGTACAGAACATGGCACCATGCAATGGCACCGCGCCATGGCAAACCATATGGTACCGTAGGCTACCAGGGTATACCTAATGGCATCCCTTGTGCCATAGGCTGAAGGATATTATTTGGAGTCAAATTCTTGCAGATTTATATGCCTCGTGTGAGATCAAGTCCTTAAAAAGCTAGTGTCAATTTTCCTTTCTTCAGTTACAGTTATATGTGTTGTGTCTAAAATACAGTAAAATTGAGAAAACCTTTCGAGAAAACTTGTACAAGAATGAGACATATAAATCTGCAAGAATTTGACTCAAAAAGTGCCACAGAGCCTATGGCACGGGGGTGCCATAGCGGCCATAGCGCCGTGTCATGGCACCATATCATGTTTTGTACTAACCCGATGTATATAACTATCAAGGGACTAGAAAACAATAAAAATGAGTTTTGAAGAATATCAATTAGATTCCCTTTCATCAATTAAATGCAATAAATACACTTTCGCTTTCTAATAAAATGTGAAAGTGCTATAAAAAGAAAATGAACGTAATCCCCTCCATAGGTTTGGCAACCCTAGCTCCTTCATTCAACTACGCGTTAAAGCCTATTTGTGTTTGAATCTTTATACTTATATTGTATATATGGAAATGTAAATTAACTTCATTTTCAATGCCTCAAAATTTTCCCAATTTTTGTCAATTACAATAGGTCGAAAACCAATGATTTTGATGAATTTTTGAAAATCGTCATTCCATGAAAACCAATGGGAAGTGGTGGGTTCGGGGAAAATCTGATATCAGGACACCTAACCAAAAAAAGATTCACCAATATTTACATAGAAAATTGAATTGTCTTCCTTTTTTGCAAAAGTCAATTTTGAAAATCATTTTTCGCCCCCTGTATTATATTTCAATGGAAGGAGTTTTTTGAAAAATAATTTTGCCTTTGAAGACCTATAGCTTTTTAAAACCTGAAGAAACCAATCAACTTTTTATTAAACAAAGTTAGCAAATTCAATTGACTACCTAACTTGTATTTATCATCAATTTTCGACCTATTATAATTGAGGAAAAAATTCGGAAACCAAAAAAATACAAAGGAAATTTTGGTTGATTTTACAAAAAGTATTCAAAAAACTAAAACAAAAACCCCCAAAATAGATTAAAATGGAGATAAACATTTTATTTCATTAACAAGATACTTTTTAAAATCAACCAAACTTCCCTACATACAAAATATTGAGAGATCAAAACACGTTGTGTTTATGTCAATTACTAGTAGTTTCATTAAGGTTCGGACAGATGTTTCACTTCATTCCGAACATGTGATACCAAGAACAAAAGAGGCGTCTGATGTGTTAAAACAATATAGAGAAACGTATATATATTTATTTCAAATTATTGTCACCATTCAAAAGATGACCATTAAATTGACGATGTGTTAAATTTACGGAGTTTTTTGATGACTGGTTTAAGAGAAACGTGTGTTCAAAAAGTTCACCATATATCGATACCAATCTTTTGAAGGCATGGAAATGAAGTCAAATTATATTTCCATCAACATTATAAGTTTTTTTCTCGCAGGTTATGGAAATAAAAATTCAAACATAAAGAGGCTTTAACACGTAGTTCAATGGGGGAGCTAAGGTTGCCAAACTTATGGAGGGGAGTGTATTTATTATATATAATAACTGTAATTGGGTATAATAAGCGTTCTATCACATTGCAAAACAAATATTAGATAATAATAGCGTATAATGCTTTCAAGAAAAACTTTCCAAAACGCTCAGCTTAA